GAGAGAGAGAGAGAGAGAGAGAGAGAGCGAGAGGAACCGTCACGAAGACATCGTGATAAACAAGGTCGTGGGACCTAGTGACGCAAATGCGCCAATCTCGTTGCAAGGCAATCCAAAAAAAAAAAAAAAAAAAAAAAAAAAAAACATGCAAGAGTGTCAAAGCTGAGGGTTGCTCAAGCGAAGTGTTGAAAAAAAAAAAAAAAAAAACAAAAACAAAACAACCCCGGGAGTGCGGGGAGGCGCGACGGCGGTAGAAGACAAGCGACATAGTTTGCCCCACAAAGCGTGCCGTATTATCTCGCGCCTAATCGACATTGGTCCTGGTCCCCCCCCCCCCCCCACAACCTCGGTTGCCAATTAATTGCAGAAGTGGAAGGCGAGTGGCGGAGTGCTCATTGGGACCCATACGAGGACGCAATAACGGACAACATGGTGTCCATCATGCGCATGCGATTGCGCAATAGCCTCCATTGGTGGCTGTCATGGTGCGACAGCAGTCTTATCCTTTCCATCATTGCCAGAGGGTACTGGCTACCATGGAAGGGCGCGGAGCCTCTCCCCTTCGAAGCGCCCAATCACGCAGGCGTCCAAGCACACATGGCATTCACCCAAGACGCGGTCAGCGACCTCATCGCGTCAGGCGCCGCGATGCATGTCTCGTCGAAAGCCGCACTTACGTGCATCAGCCCGCTCAATGTTGTGGAGCAACGAGACAAATGTCGGCTCATCCTTGACCTGCGGAAGGTCAACGCTCACCTCCAAGTTCCCAAGTTCAAGTACGAAGGCTTGAGTCGGGTCGCGGAAATCATTCGCCCAAACGACTGGATGTTCACAATCGATCTCAAGTCAGGCTACCACCACGTCGAAATCCACCCATCGTGCTGGAAGTTTTTGGGCTTTCAATTGGGCGGAAATTTCTATTGCTTCACATCCTTACCTTTCGGCCTGGCAACAGCCCCGTTCGTCTTCACCCAGCTTATTAAGCAACTAGCCAAGAGATGGCGCGCGCGCGGAGTGCGCGTAATACCATACGTGGACGATCTACTATTCCTCTGCGACTCCGAGGCGCTAGCCCGTTCGACGTGCATCGAAGTTCTCTACGACCTGAAGGCGGCAGGATTCGTGATAAATTCTAAGAAATCACACCTGCATCCCGCACACCACTTGCGCTTTTTGGGGATGGAGCTTGACACGGAACGAGGGATGTTCATTGTCGGAAAGGATCGGCGCGAACAACTACTGCAGGAGCTCCACCTACTTATAAAAAAAGGGCAATCGGGTCGCCAAGTGCCGATTCGCAAGATAGCCCGGATCACTGGATTTCTCAGCTCCATGTCGCTCGCGCTGGGCACGACGGCGCGTGCCTTCAGCCATGAGCTTCTGCACTTGATCGACTCCGCATGGTCATGGAACTCAAAGGTTTTATTGTCACCAGGAGCGACCGAGGAGCTGCTGTTTTGGACAATGCACTTCGATCGTTTCAATGGCGCCCCATTCCACCAGAGTCAGCGTTTTGATGCCGTGATACACGTCGACGCAAGCGCACACAGCTGGGGTGCCACTCTGGCCAAGTTCCCAAGTACATCATGCGACGCAAGCTAGTGCATGCCACAAGGGCTTCTCCCCACATCTAGTACGCGGCGAGAGCTCGAGGGAGTGCTCTGGGCACTGCGGACGTTCGCAACCCAAATCGTGGGTGCTCACGTCCTCGTCCGGGTAGACAACCAGGCAGTCATGTTTATCTTGCGCAAAGGGGGATCCCGTCAGGCGGATCTTACGTTGACATGCCAAGCGATCATCCAGTTCTGCCTCGGCAACACAACACGCCTCGCGATCGAATGGATTCCGAGAGAGCTCAACGCCCATGCGGATGACCTATCCAAGATGCAAGATTTTGACGACTACTCCCTACACGCACCTTGGTTTCGCCTCTTGGAACGACGCTGGGGGCCTCACACAATTGATCTCTTTGCTAACGTTCGGAACAATCACGTTCAGCGCTTCTGCTCTAAGATACCGCACCCCGACGCGTTCGCCGTCGACGCATTTTCCATCTCGTGGACAGGCGAGCGATGCTTTGCCTTCCCGCCTCCACACTTAATTCCCGCTACACTCCGCCATGCGGAACTGACGCAGACAGAACTCACGCTCGTCGTTCCACAGTGGACCGGAGCGTCATGGTGGCCGCTTCTCCAGCCGTCCACTCAATCGTGGGCTCCGGCAGTAGTAGAGCACCTTTCCCTTGCCCAAGGCAGCCAATGCCTTCGGGCAGGTTCACACACAGCTGCATTCTCTGGTCTCGGATTGCCCCATAGCCCAATCATTGCTTTGCGTGTAAACTATGCGGTCTAATAACAATTTCTCAATGTGTCATTTCAGGACTTTTGGCCAAACTAAAGCAACAATTGATGCACGTAATTAGCCACGTTCGCGCACCATCTACAATCGAGACGTACCAACCTTATTGGCAGAGATTTCGCACCTTCTGTACCCAAGTTAAGCTCGAGTTCCTACCGGCAACCGACCTGACGCTAGCGCTGTATCTCATCCATGCGCTCAACAACAAAGCAACTCTCTCTGCGATCAACCTCACGTGTTCGGCAGTAGCCTTCGCCCACCGCATGACAGGCGAAACCTCCCCTACCGCTGGCCCACTCACCCTGCAAGTGCGGGAGTTCGCCAAGAGACATGGCCCTCGGCCTACAAGGACCAAAGAGCCGATCTCTCTCCATCAAGTGCACGACATGGCTCGTCCCTTCCTCGAATCACCAATTCCTGCGGAATACCAGAAAGGATTGATTCCTCTTCTCATGTTTTCTGCATTCTTGCGCTACTCCGACCTCGTCTCGCTCCAATGGAATGATGTACAGTTCGAGGAGAAGGCAATGTGGCTGCTCATCCCGCACTCCAAGACGGACCAGGAGGGGAGGGGAGTCTGGATCCCAGTGGCAGCAATTCCAGGCCCATACTGCCCGGTGAGGTGCACGCGCACATTTATACACATCGCAGGCCTCACAAAGGTGCCACATGGACCGCTGATAAGGGTTTTCCCGAAGAACTCGCAAGCCACACCGAACGACAAATCACCATCCTACGTTACGATCAGAAACTGGTGCCTCGCGGCCGGCAGGCAAGCTGGACTGGATGTCGCGCACATCGGAACCCACTCATTCCGCAAAGGCGCAGCCACGGCGGCGGCAAGCCTCGGAGTTCCTGACCGGCTCTTCAAACGCATGGGCCGATGGCGCAGCGACAGCGCGAAGGAGATGTACGTTACAATCGCGCAGGATCAGCTCATCTCCCTCTCTACGCAATTGCAGGATCCTTCGACGGCTCCCTCGCCCGCTACGCATCAGCTGTCAATCGAACGACACCGCCAGCCCCGACTGCACTTGCCTCAGAAGACCCATATGAAATGATAACGCTGCCTTTGCCAGTCAGCCTAAGTACACTTTCACAATATGATAATTAGTGTAATGAAATGTAACACTTTCTAAAATTTTGTATTGTGAAAAGGGGTACGTGGCCAACACAGCAAAGGTAGCGCCGAAGCGCTACTCACCCTCTTTTGCCTACAAAAGAGGGACGTGGGGACATTCGTCCCCACCCACGTTTTCATTTTCAAAATTGTAGTTCTAATTTCCCACCCGCCCACCCATTGTGTATGCTGTTATGTAGATTTATATAAGACGAGAACGATGTACTACAATCCATATGAAATGATAACGCTGCCTTTGCCAGTCAGCCTAAGTACACTTTCACAATGAGAAAATCAATGTAAGGTTGTGTCCACTAACAGAACCTGGGCACCACAGGTCAATTATCAGCACAACTGAAAAGAACTTATCACAGAATGGTTTTAATTTGTTGGAGAAGAATGGTCGAAAGTTGAGACCCGCCTAAGTATGTGATATCTGGAAAGAAACTACAGTACCATGCCATCCCTGCATTGCCAAACAACTGGTCATGGCATTCACCATTTCCACTGCCGAAAGGCAATGCTTCGCCTCAAGGATGCATTTTGCTGGGTAGCACTAGTGTAGTGCACCACTTCCACTGTTGCATTAAGCTACTCTGCCCAGTACAAAAAATCAAGCTCGATGCTACACTGCTCGAACCTAATACTGTGTATGCACTAACATGATTGCCAAGAAGGCTCTCTGCATTCAATCTTTCACTTAGGGTACTGTCAAAACTGGGTCACAATGACATACATAGATTCACTGGTTCCATTGCTGCTCTGACCCCTGCTGCTGCTGTGTTAACAGGTGAGCTTGCTGCAGCAGATCAGGCACATGCTGCTGCTGCTGCTGCTGCTGCTGTTGACTTGAAAAACTAGACATGCCAGAATACTGCTGCTCCTGTACCTGCTGCTGCATCAACATCTGCTGCTGCTGTTGCTGCATCTGCTGCTGCTGAATCTGCTGCTGCTGCTGCATCTGCATCTGTTGCATCTGGATCTGCTGCATCTGAATCTCCTGCTGCATGTCAATCTGGGCCTGCTTCATCCTAGAATACTGCGCCCGGCCCTCCACAGAATGCGCCATCGCCTGCATGCGACTCACCGCCAGGCTCACCTCCCTCTCCTCCCCATCCCCACCGCTCCCCACCCCCTCCCCACCCTCAGTACCATACAGCGCGCCATCTGCACCGTCGGAGTGGCAGCCATCCTGCTGGGCTCGGAGCCCCCGCACGCCGCTGCGGCGGAACCGCCAGCGCAGGACCGCCTTGGCGATGATCCCAAGGCCCCACTTCATCTTCTTGTACTTCACCCGCTGAATGTGGCCCTTCACATGCGCCTGGGGGGAGGGGAGAGATAAGGAGGGGTAATATACCAACTGCACTGCCTTGGCGATGATCCCAAGGCCCCACTACATCTTGTTGTACTTCACCCGCTGAATGTGCCTTCACGTGTGCCTGTGGTCAGGGGAGGGGGAGTGGGAGGAGATTGACGGGGAGAGGGGGGGAATATTTGGGATAAATAGAGGGGAAGGAAAGGCAGGGGGCAGTTATGGTTCTCACTGCCTTGCTGATGATGATCCCAAGGCCCCACTTCATCTCCTTGTACTTCACCCACTCGATGTGCCCCTTCACATGCACCTGGGAGGGAGGGAAAGGAAGGGTTAGAGCAAATAAATTTGACTCTCTTTCTACGACCACCACTACCCTCCACTCGCCCTACCACTCCCCATACAAGCCATCACCCTCACCTGAATCTTGATCACGCGCTGCCGCATCCGCAGGAACTCCCTCCGGTGCTTCCATGTGCGGAACCGCCGCTGAATGCTCCTTGCAGCCTCCGACTGCTTGAAGTTCTTGTGCCCGCGGAACGCATTCTGAATCTTCCTCGCAGCCACCAGCATCCTCGCCTCCTCCTCATCCAGCTCATCGTCCCCTCCAATCCCCAGCCCTGCCGCTGCCTCCGCTGCAGCCGCCACTGCTCTCTCCTGCTCCCGAAGCTCCTCCTCCTCCTGCTGCTGCTGCCGCCTTCGCTCCGAGTGCTTCCTGAATCGTTCCTGGATCAACGTTGCAGCCTGCGCTGTCCTCCGAATTGCATCCAGCGTTTCTTGCATGTCGGGCGACGCAGCGACAGAAGCGGGACGAGCCGCCCCTGGGAGACCCCCAGCAGCAGCAGCACGACCACCCGCACCACCAGCAGCAGCAGGACCAACACCCCTACCGGCGGCACCAGCAGCTGCTGCAGCCACGGCTGCATGGCCGGCAGCAGCGGCGGATTGGAGCAGAGAAGGGTCGGTGGCCAGCTGGTGCTGGTCCTGAATGGTCATGGAGGAGAGGGAGGCGTTGAGGGACGACTCTGCTAGATACGCTGCGATGCCCGTGTGGCCGCACGCTGACGCTGTGTCTGTTGCTGTGCGCTCCACCCCTCCCACTCGCGCCAGCAGAGAGGAGTTGGCGCCTGCTGCCACCAGCGCCACCACCATTGCTTCCCTGCAGGGAGAGAACAGCACGAGGACAAAGAGGAAAGGGGGGAAATAGAGAAAAGAGAGAGACGAGGGCAGCAGATAGGAGAGGGAGGCGTTGAGGGAGGACTCTGCTAGATGCGCTGCGATGCCCTTGTGGCCGCATGCAGATGCTGTGTCTGCTGCTGTGCTCTTCCTCCTTTCTCACAAATCCCCCGTGTATGATTGTCACTCACCTCCCCTTAGCAGCAGCCCAATGAAGAGCCGTACACCCCCGCTTGTCTCTTGCGTTCAAGTCCCACCCCACACTCATGAGCAGCGGCACAGCCCATGGCCATCCCAGCGCCGCCACGAGATGCCCAAGACCCAGCCCCATGCCCCTCCTGCCCGCCTCCCTCGCTGCATCGCTGTTCAGCGCCAACCAACGGCCCAGATGCTTCCGCATCAGCGCCTGGAGCAGCACGCCCTCCAACCGCACTGGACTCCCCTGAACCCCCGCCGCTCCTCCCTCCGCTCCTCCTCCTCCCCCTCCCGCTCCTCCTCCTCTCTCTGTATCAGCCCCTCCTTGACATTGAAGCCTGAGAGCATATTCATCTGCATCTTCCTCATCACTCCCATACCCCCACATGTTCATCTCTCTCTCCTCATCATCCTCCTCATCCTCCTCCTCCTCTCTATCCACCCCCATTCCCTCCCTATCAGCCGCCCCCTCACCCCTTCCCCCATCCAGCCTGCCCCTCCACTCGGCTTCATCCGGGCATGCTGCTGACGTGGACGCCAGAGCCTCATCCACCCATGCCCAGTCAGCGCTGACGTCCGCCAGGCTGGCACGGTTGATGCGGGAGATGAAGCAGAGGAGGCGGGAGAGCAGAGCGCGTTCAGAGAGAAACAAACGGGATAAACTCGGCCTGCTACCATCCTCTTCACCACCGCCACCAGCACCAGCACTAGCACCACCAGCACCAGCACCACCCCCACCAGCACCAGCACCAGCACTAGCACCACCAGCACCACTGCCAAGACCACTCTTGGCATAGGTTCTGTTTCGGTCTAGAGCGAGGCTCTTTTTGAAAGACTGCCAAGGAGGGAGGAAGTCGAAGGGAACAGGCGGGCTGCACGGCACTCTTTTCACTGCCTTGCCTCCCTCCCCTCCTCCTACCCCTCCTCCTCCTGCTCCAACCCCCGCCGCCACACCCCCTCCTGCAACTGCTATGTCTTGATTCATTGCATCTCCACTCCCCCCACCGTCCACACCCGCGAACCCACCACCACCCTCACCCTCACCCCCAGGAGCAGTCACAGTCACAGCAGCAGCAGGGGTGCAGGTGACGCGCAGGCTAACCCTCCCTTGCTTGTGAATGGGAGCAACGCACCGCAGTACACCGTGCACAACCTGCTCAGCTTCCACCTCCACCTCTCCAAACGTCACCCCCCACCGCACGCCCCACACCGTATCCCCCCGACCGAAGCTCCCACTGCCCGTCCCCCCAAGCCCACCCGCACCGAAACTGCCCCCGCCCCCGCTAAGACTGGCGCGGGGGGAGGAACGCGTGTGGGGGCTTGGGGTCCCTCGGGGATCATGGACCGAACCCGCTAGCAACACCTGAGGGGGGGATTGGGAAGGGAGAGGTGGAGAGGGTGGAGGGGGTGGCGGGGTATATGAAGGAGGTGGAATGGAAGGGAGGGGTGGGAGGAGCGCGTGTGGAAGCTTGGGGTCCCTTGGGGGTCGTGGACCGAACCCGCTAACAACACCTGAGGGGGGGGATTGGGAAGGGAGAGGAGGAGGGGGTGGAGGGGATGGCGGGGTATCTAAAAGAGGTGGAAGGGAAGGGAGGGGTGGGAGGAGCATGTGTGGAAGCTTGGGGTTTCTCTGAAGTTGTGGGCAGAGCCTGGTAGCAGCACCTGGGCGGGATTAGAGGGGGGAAAGGTCGTGGCAGCACAAGGTGAGAAGAGGTCAAGTCAAGTCAACCCTTCTGTTCCACTGGCCTTGATAGTTGCAGCCAGTGTCCCGACGGAGGGTCACCATGGGGCGCGGCAGCAAGCTACATTACTGCTCATATATTACCGTTTCCTTCTCATCTTCACCTGCCAACCACCACCATCATCACCACCACCACCACCATGACTGAGTCAGTACTGACCTTGACACCACCCATAGTGGCAGCAGAGGTGGGTGCATAGTCGGCAATAGAAAAGGTCACCATTGGCCGCGGCGAGTCAGCTGCTGCCACCGACCCCATGCTCCCCATCGACAGCACCCCCCCGCCTATCCCCCTCCTCGCCCCCAGCCCTGCTCCTCCTCCTCCCCCGATGCTCCCTCTCCCTCCCCCAATGCTCCCTCCCCCTCCCCATCCTCCTCCCCCTGCTCCTCCTGCTCCTCCTCCCGCCCCGACCCCAGATAAACCCCCACCAGAAGCAGCAGCAGCCGAAGGTATGCTACCCAGAGGGAGCATGGGGGACGCACCCATGAAGGAGAGATCATACTTGCTGACTCCCAGCCCCACGCCTCCCTCCTCCTCGCCGTCCCCTCCCGCCTCCTCCTTCACCCCCAGCTTGAAACTCACTTCCTGCCTCTCCAACCCCGTCTCTGCGCCTCCAAACGCGGGGGAGACCATACCAGAGGAGGTGGGGGAGGAGGGGAATGGCTCGGGGGAAGAGAGAGGGGAGGGCGTGGGGGTAGACCGACGCATAGCCTGGGTGATTCGCATGTCAAACGCGTCAGTGCCACTGCCAGGACCACCGCCGCCGCCACTGCCAAAACCGCCGCCACCGCCGCTACTGCCCACTGCACCGGCTCCAGAGGCAGAGAGAGGAAAAGCACCCCCTCCCATAACCGCGTCCTCCCCCACCCCCACCCCATCCCCGCCTGCTCCCCCGCCGCCCCCGGCCCCAGCATCCCCTTTATAAACCTCCTCGATCCACTCGCCAAAGCTGTCCAGTTTCCGGAACAGTGCAGGCTCGTTGGGCATGCTGCCGCTCTGAGGGATGATGCTGCCACTCTTAGGCGTGCTCCCGCTCAAAGGCAAGGGCAGCCCAGACAAGCTCCTGTTCGACCCGTCCGTTTGCATCTCATCAAACATGTTAGAGAACCCCGGCCGCCCCGAGCCTCCCGAGCTTCGGAGCTCCGGAGGGTACGCGCCGAGCCAGCTCTCGGGAGGTACGGCCGGAGCTGCAGCGGCTGCTATGGCGGCAGCTGCGGCGGCCGTGGCGGCAGCGATGGCTCGGGGGGAGCCGGAGGCGCCGCCTCCGCTGAATGCTGCTTCTCTGCCCGCCTCGTTGAGAGGAAGGGTCTGCAGGAGCAGCGATGACTGGTGGACGGGTAAAAAGAGGGTCGGTTGCAGGGGAGAAAGACAGCCGGGGGGGAAAGAGAGGAGGGACGCGGGAAGGGAAAAGAAGCAGGGAGAGGAGAGAGGTGCGCAGAGAGCTTTGAGGAGAGGGGAGTGAGGAGAGAGGCACTGGGAGAAGAGAGTGAAGAGATACGAGCATGCCACACACACTCATTGCACCGGTCAATCTCGCACGGCCATTTCTGCACCCACCCACTTGCACAGCCAATATCGCACCCACTCACTCACCCACAAAACCACCCACCCATCCGCACCAGCCACACATCAGCCCGGCCCCCACACAGACACAGACCGTTTGCCCCCCACCCACACCGGTTATCCCGCGCGCACGCACGCACGTGCGCACACACGCACACACATACCCACCCACGCACGCACACACGCACGCACGCACGCACGCACACACACACACACGCACGCACGCACGCACGCACGCACGCACGCACGCACGCACGCACACACACACACACACACACACACACACACACACAAACCACCCACCCGCCCACCGGCACGCACCAGGTCTGTGTGTGGGCCGGAGGAGCCCGAGCGAGCATACATGAGCGAGTTGAGCTGCGCCTCTGCTGCGCCCGCTGCTCCTGCCGCTCCTGCTGCCGGCAGTGCTGCATTCCCGGAACCAGCAGCACCAGCAGCACCTGCAGCACCTGCTGTGCCTGTGGCAGAAGCATCCAAGGAACCTGCAGGAGGGTGGGGGTTTTGAGGTTTTTTTTTTTTTAGAGATTCTCAAAAGCTTCTCCTGCTGATCCTGCTGCCGGCAGTGCTGCGTTTCCGGAACCAGCAGCACCAGCAGCACCAGCAGCACCAGCAGCACCAGCAGCACCAGCAGCGCCTGCTGTGCCTACTGCTGAGGCATCGAAGGAGGGTGTGGGATCAGCAGGTTCTGGGGGGATGGGGGTGGGAGGGGGGGTATGGGGGCCCACGCAAGAGGGAGTACAAGTACTAAATCGAGACAACTTTTGAGACGCCTCAACTCAAGACTAGAAGCAGCAGAAGTCACAGTACCTGCGAGGCATGATGCCTTGATGAGCTCGTCTAGCACCTCCGTGTCTCGTAGGAGCGACTGCATCCATTGTTTATTCAGGCTTCAGGAATCTCACATTTAGACAAGTTCTGTCTAAATGTCTTGACGCTTGACCTCAAAACAGTACCTGCGAGGCCTGACGCCTTGATGAGCTCGTCCAGCACCACTGTGTCTCGCAGGAGAGACTGCATGTCCCGCTGCTGCTGCTGGTGCTGCTGCTGTTGCTGCTGCTGCTGCTGCTCCAGCAGCCTCGAGAGCTGCTGCTGCTGCTGCTGCTGCTGGTTGTTCTGGAAAAAGTGGCCATCAGAGGGAACGGGAGAGAAGGGAGGTGAGAGCAGGGAGAAGGGAGGTGATCGTGAGAGCACGGGGGAGGACGAAAGTGGGAGTCGGGGGGGAGGGGGAGGGGAGGGAGGAGAGAGGAAGGGGAAAGCAGGCCCACCTGCTGCATAAGCTGTTCGGCAGACCCTGTGATACCCAGGCTGCCATGCAACGCGCTGACAGAGCTGGACGACAGCCCCATAAAATCCGTAATCCCCCCCGCCACCCCTGCTTTGGGTAAGACCCGTCTCACCTGCTGCAAGAGGGGATCGGCCGGCCCCCCCACACCCAGGCTGCCATGCAATGCGCTGACAGAGCTGGACGACAGCCCCATAAAATCCGTCATCCCCGCCACCGCCTGCTGCTGCTGCCCCTGCTGACCCTGCTGCTGCTGCAGCAGCTGCTGTTGAAGCAGCCTCAGCTGCTGCTGCTGCTGCACTGCCTGCTGCTGCTGCACTGCCTGCTGCTGCTGCTGCTGTTGATGCTGACCCACACCCAGGCCTCCACCGTCCATCCCGCCGCCAACGCCCTTCCCCCCACCCCCTTGCATATCCAGCTGCGTCCAGTTCAGAGCCGAATCCCCCTCCTCACCAAACCGCTCTGAACCGCTCTCATACTCGTCCTCTTCCCCCTCCTCCCCGCGCCTCCCGCCGCCCATGAACGCCCCGGACTCGTTCCCGCCCGCGTTCGACGAGCAGTACTCGTTCCCGTGACTAGGGGACGCAGGAATATCCATGGAAAACGCGCCCCCCCCTCTTCCGCCCGCCCCCATGCCTGCTCCGCCGCCGCCCGCCCCGCCCCCAGCAGTTCCGCCAGCAGAGGCAGAGCTAGAGGCGTAGGGGAGACCCATCATGCGCCCGCTACCAGAGCGACTAGTGGAGGGGGTATGCATTCCCATCCTGCCCACATCCCCAACACCAACGCCACCACCAGCCCCAGCAGCACCAGCGGCGCTGGCGCTGCCCATACCCGCGACAGCCGCGCTGCTTCCCCCACCCATTAGCGCCATGCCTGCGCTGCGAGCTCCGCCGCCGCCCATACCTCCCATCCCGCCGCCCACGGACACGGAGAGGTCGTCTATGCTCATGTCGGGGCCCTGGCCGGCATAGATTGGCATGGAGTCCACCGTGCTGTGGCGGGGGGACTGATGCGCCCGCCCCGTGCCCTGGGGGTTGAGGGGGAAGGAAAATCAAGGGAGTTAAGAGAGGTCGTCTATGCTCATGTCGGGGCCCTGGCCGGCATAGATTGGCATGGAGTCGACTGTGCTATGGCGGAGCGACTGCTGCGCCCGCCCCGTGCCCTGGAGGGTGGGGAACGGAAGGTGCGGGGGAAAAAAACACGGCGACACGAGGTTGGAAGATGCCTGAGACTGAGTTGAGTGTCATTGAGGGGGGATATTAAGGGGTCAGGGGGATCACGGGGGATTGGTGGGATCGGGGGGAATAGGGGAGAGGGGTCGGACGGAGGGGACGGGGTGCGGGCATGAAGGCAAGCAAGCAGCAGAGCGTGCTGGGAAGGCACGCCTGAGCCACTTCGCGGTAATCCCCAGGACATGTATTTGAGGAGGAAGGACGATGTTCTCGTTCTTATATCGGCCTCGAAGCAGGGAAATGAGATTGAGGCTCATGAAAAGCCTTTTGGGGAAGAGAATTCGAGGAGTGCATTTACCTGAGCCACTTCAAGGTAATGCACCACCAGGATGATGTTCTCGTTCTCCCCGGCTCTTGAGGGGCTCAAAAGCTCTACACTAAATATCCTAGACGCCGCAACAGTCGTCCCTCTCTACCCGCCAAAGAAAACCTTTTTTAAGCGCCTCAAAAGCAAAGTGTGCGGGGAGCGCATTTACCTGAGCCACTTCGCGGTAATGCACCAGGACGATGTTCTCGTTCTCCCTGCAGCACCACGGCGAGACGAACGGACAGGCATGGGGGGCCATTGAGAGGAAACAGGGAATTGGGGGGAGCGGGGGATGAGGGAAGAGGGGGTGTGAGGGGGAGGGTGAGGATCAGAGACCAAGCGCAACGACAGATGCTGAGTTGAGACGAGATCAGACGCAGCAACACGCGTGGGGAGAAGTGCAGGAGGAGAGGCGGGTAGCACAGCAGCACGGCAGCTAGAGTGGCAAGCGACGTGGGGTAGCACAGCAGCACGGCAGCTAGAATGGCAAGCGACGTGGGGTAGCACAGCAGCACGGCAGCTGGAATGGCAAGCGACGTGGGGTAGCACAGCAGCACGGCAGCGACGTGGGGTAACACAGCAGCACAGTGACGAGCACGACAACGACGCGCGAAAGGCCTAACACGCGACCGTCCTTCCACGCGCGTGGATCGAGAGGAGCAGGAATGGCGGGGGCATGCGCGCACTCGCAGCCGGTATTGGGGGGGGGGGGGGACAGGAGGAGAGGGGAGGGGGGGGGGGGGAGGGCATGCGCGCACTCACCCGTCGAGCAGCCAGTAGCAGCGGCGCTGGAAGCGGTCGTCGCTCTCCGCGTGCGCGTAGTAGCAGTGCAGAATGTCCACGCTGCCCGCCTGCCCCGCGCGATGGCAAGTGGAGGGGTGAGGGAGAGAGAGGGAAAGGGAGAATCTCGCGTGAGAATCGCGCGCGCGCGCGAGAAGGGCTGTGCGCAAACTTGGTGGAATTACCATGGCCCATTGGCGTGACTCGTGAGGAAAGGGCTAGATCTGCGCATGGAACGACACCGCGCGAAGCGAGGCGAGGCGAGCTGCCGCCATGCAGCCACTGGGTGCAATGCAGCCACTGGGTGCAATGCAGCCACTGGGTGCAATGCAGCCACTGGGTGCAATGCAGCCACTGGGTGCAATGCAGCCAATCATCTTCTTCCTCTCCTTCACTTACTCCTCTCATTTCCTCCTCACATCCTCTCGTCCCGTTGCAGTCTCTTTTTTCGTTTCCTCACATTGCATTCACACGCATCATTCAATGCATCCAACCAATCAGCGTCGCGCACGACCCGCGCACCTTGAGCTTTTCGTGCGCCTCGCGAACGGTCTTGCCGTCCTTCTTCTTGCGCCACACGTGTCCGTCGCGGCGGAAGTAGCGCACCACCTTCCGATCGAACAGGAACAGCGACCCGCCTGCGCGCAGCCGTGCCACGTCATCATCGCACGGAGCGGGTTGAATGTACAATAGGCTTGATGTATACTTGGGGTCGCGATGACATTAGGGTTGCGTTGTACACGCATCGTTCGATCCCATGGTCAACACGGACAAAGATATCAATAATCGCAGCGGAGAAAACGGGCGGGGGGAAGTAGGGGGGAATGGGGGAGGAAAGGGGGGGAGAGGGTAACGGCATGGGGAGGGTGGAGGGAGAAAATCCCGAGGTCCAACGGTCTACAATCCTTACTAGGCGGTTTGGTGGGCGGTTCTCGGTTGAGCTGGAACTCGTATTTGCGGAAATTCTGCAGAATGTTGCACACCTCGACCGGCTTGAGGAGGGTAGAGAGGGAAAATACCACGATTTAACGGTCTACAGTGCTTACTTGGCGGCTTGGCGGGTGGCTCTTGGTTGAGCTGGAACTCGTATTTGCGGAAGTTCTGCAGAATGTTGCACACCTCCACCGGCTTGAGCCATCGCGTGCGCGCCTCCAGCAGCACGTGCCCGATGTCAATGTCCTCTGGTGGTGTCGCGGCGCGGCACGGGAAGGGTCGGAGGGACATTTCGTCGCAAAAAGGGAACGAAAAGAGGCACACTTGATTACGATAGGGAAGAGAAGTGGCAAAATGTTGCGTTAATCATGGCGGAGAAATTATATGATGGAGCCAAGAGCACATATTAATCTCAATGTCCTGAAAATATGTTCAGTGGAATAGGCTAATCTTAACCTCACATTACGGGAGACGAGAGACGGAAAACTATCCGAGTTGTATAAGGGACGCGTAATGTTGCAAAATGAGGACGTTTTCTTTTCTGGACATGGATCTTGGAATGGGGTTGAAACCCTAGACCTCTTTATAAACAGATTTAGTACTCGGAGGCGCGCGAGAGTTTGTCAGTTTACGAAACTGAACATTGGATCCGTTTACGATCATACGCTTCACGGTAGGATATCACACGAATAGGAGAGCGGCAGGAGGACGACAAACCAAAACCTTGCCTGTTGGAAAAGGCTGCTTCCGTGACGCCATGACGGGTGCTAATGCTGAGTTTCGCGTAGGGTATCAATGTGACGGCTACCAGATCAGAGTTGGACGACCGAAAGCTGGATAGGATTGCTATTGCGAGGCAGATGGCGAGGCGAGGCTATTGCTGTCTGGATTACAGAGATCACATTATGGAAACATTACGGCGATCACATTACGGCGATCACATGACAGTGATTACGGCGATCACATTACGGGGATCTGCTGTCTGGATTACGGCGGCGAGCGAGGGTATGTCCTTGACTCGTCCTAGCAAAACGCATCAGGTTTTCTGCATAGCTGCTGCTGCCCTCTCTAACAGATCTGTCTCAAGAGGCTCCGTCTCGACTCGAGTCGAGTATCTCGAGCCTGGACTGCTGCTTTGCTGTACAACTGCCATGCGTGTTTCTGTCGTGCTGCTAGACAACAAAAAGAAGGAAGAAATGATGCAAGCAGGAGGCAGTGAGCCAAGTGTTCTGTACACCTAGCCCGCGCCAAATTCACTATGGGCAATTTGAACTCCCCCCCCTTTGTCGTTACGTGGGTCAGTGAGGTTGAGTGTGGACAGGGCCGCCCCCTATCCCCTACAAAAATGTTACAGCCAATTTTATCACCCCCCCGCTACAGATAAGATTGACCCGTTGATGAGGGAGTGAAATTGCCGAGGGCTAGGTGTACCTAGAGGGACGATTACTCCCTGAGATCACACAACAGTGTTCCATCCAAGGGCAGCTACCATGATAATGAGAATGACAAGGCCGCCATGGCTACCTCATACTTTCCTGACAAGCACATTGCATGAAGCCTACCCACCTGATGACTTTAATTTCGCCGGCATTGTAACCGTTACATCCCCGCGAAGAAGTATAAATACTTTATGTGTTCATCAGGCGAACATTTTATCGACTTCTCTAGGGAGCTCCTCGCTCGTAAAAGAACCTAAGCTCAAGGTCCACGCGGCGTGCTTCTCAAGATGCATTGCTGGCAGTCAGGAACTACTACCAATGCTTAACATTACTGGTTCTCCTGTCTACGTCCAAGGGGATGACCCCGAAGTTTTATCATCTGCTTTCCAGCACCTGTGTTACGAGCAATGGACAACAAACTACGCTAACGCTGACAATGGCATGCTATATATTTGTAATGTGCTCAGACCACCAGCTCATTGCTTTCATCAGCTCATTCCAACAGAACCTCTGCCGGTTTAGGTTCATCATTGCACCATGTCGCCGAAAGGGTCGCGTGTTAAGGCCACGGTCGATGCTCCACCATCTGAAAACCTGACCGGTGGAACGGATGCTGCAACCAAGCAAACAGCAAGCGGCAAGTCAGAGATTGAGAAGAATCTGCCATCAGAGGCAGAAGTGACTGCGGGGAGCTCAGGGTTATCCATTGAAGATAAGCTGAAAGCGCTGGCTACGGTCGCACCTGATGATTCCTTCATTGAAGATGACTCCGACGAGGAACTAGAAATTGACTGTGCGAAAGGGATTGAGTCGCACATTCGCTTCACTGCGATCTTGCCTTTTCCGGTCATTCCGTCTCATGAAGTCGCTTCTGTCATTACCACGGTCAGGATGCTGATGAAGCGTGTTCGGTCGCACGTCCTTACTGACAACGTCCTTACCACAGTGAAGTTTCAGAAGATGCTACCCGCGTATGTTGCGAAGTTACGCTACATCAGGCTCCAAGTCTCCTTCCTGCAAGAAGTCGATGTTGTTAATGTCAAGTAGATGATTGTGGATCATAAGTGTCCGAACGGCGTAACTATCCACTGTTTTTGGCTGCATCAGGAAGACACGGCATTCATCCGGACAAAAGCCACGAACTCGCAAATGCTCGAAGTGTACTTCAAGAGTGTACCTGCTGACATCCCACCGGAGCTAGTCAAGGATGTGATGGTCGTTCACCCGCTGAAAGTGCGCAAGTAGTCCGCGTTCAGTGAGGGTCATTGCTTCCACCGCCTGCTGCACCCCGTCACCGGCGCTGACACCGATAAGATCAAAGGACGGGTGATCCCGCACGCGACATCTCACGATTGGGGCGAGAGCAGCGGTGATAAACTGCTACATATTGCCGATAATCTTCTTCCAAGCTCAGGTGTACCCGCCGCCGGTGGACATCTGGGGGAGGATACAGAAACTGACACACAATTTCATGTCGGGCAATCGAGCTTCCACGGACAAGGGATTCATACTGTGGAGCAGGGAACTGCTGTACATGGCCAGATAGGAGGGGGATGTCGGAGTGAAGGATCCAAAAATTTGGGCTCGCCTGCCTGACAGCCAGACGGATTGGTCTGCTCCTCACTGAGACGAATGAACTGAAGCGCAATATCATGCTCAAGGCAACAGACTTACCACTCGGGATGGATACCTTCATCGCACATGTGAACCTCCTCAAGTGTTGGCGCGGGAAAAGTGAAGGGTAGAAGCTGGCGTGCGCAAACTTCATGCAGTCACCGCTCGCTGGCACACCGCTGGAACTGTCACGGGAGGAAGCGGCGAGGGAGCTTATTGTGTTCAATCGCCATATCCTGATGAAAGGCACAACTCCAGTTGGGGGCCAGAAAGCCGCAGAGAAGCTGTGGGAGGTTCCTCTGGGCGATTTGCTGGTCGCTGAGGGTGCCGAAGGCCGGCGCATAAAAGATGAAAAAACCCTAGCGAGGGAACTCGGCAGGACAAAGCAGGCAAAACTGGCACTCCGTGCATGGGAAGCAGCACCACAGGGCTGGAAATCGCTCCTCTTCTCTGCCGAGCACCCCTGCGTGCCCGTTGCCCCCTTTTGTCCCCCCCTTCAGGTAACGGCGGTATTCCGCAGCGGAGAGCTGGTGTCGTTGAAGGAGCTGAAAGGGTGTTGGCAGCAGCCGAAGCACCAGTCGTCCAAAAGGGAGCTCTGGGCGGGTAGATGGGCAGGGGAAATTGACTGGAAAAGTGCGGTTAAGATCCGGAACTCGCTGGTCACACACAGCCGTCCGTGCGATGTGCTGCTAAGGATTCACAACCTCAATCTCCAGGTGGGAGAAAGACTCTCCTTCCTAAGCGGCAAGTCAGTCTGCTCGCACTGCGGTGAGTTTGAAACCTTGGAACACTGTCTCTTCACCTGTCCAAGGATCCAACTTGTCGTGGGGGCTGTCAAGTGGGCTCTGCGCACGCTGAATCCAACAAGGCAGGTGGCAGACCTGGGGGACATGCTGTTCGGAAAGACTGCCTCCACCTCAGCTTTCCCGGAGGCAACACTCTCGGCTATTGCGCTGCACCTGATATGGGCAGAAAGGAGTGATTGTGTTTTCTGAGGCAAGAGATTTCGGGCCAGGCGTGTACACTCGGGCAACTGGGAAAAACATGGACCGGAAGGGCTGCTTGAGGCAGCACGGGAAGGCATATGCGCTGGCAGACCAGGAGTTTCAGTTACTTGGCGGCATCCGAACTCTGGATGGCAAAGGCTGGAAATGGACACATAACTTTGGCGCGCATTGCAATCTCTCGCGAGGGGCCCTGCATCCCCCTTAGAGGCTTCCCATGAGGCAGACAAGGTGGCTGTCCTCTCACGCTCAGTTACGTCTGAGATATGTTGCTATGCACTTGCATCATCGGTGTATAATTGACATATTAAAAAAGAAAAAAGAAAAAAAAAAAAAACACGCACACACACACACACACACACACCAACAACAACAACAACAACAACAACAACAACAACAACAACAACAACAACAACAACAACAACAACAACAACAACAACAACAACAACAACAACAACAACAACAACAACAACAACAACAGTGTTCCATCTAGACAATAGATTATGCCCCCGCATCGAAAAAACACCAATGGCGAATTTTGCCATCTTCTCGTGAAAATATCCATCATCTGTAAAAGGTTAGCGGGGGGGGCGAAAAAAAAAAAAAAAAAAAAACAAACAAACAAACAAAGCAAAACAAAACAAATTGTGCCCCAGGTGTATTTTCGTGTCTACGTAAAGGTTCTGCCAGGTGATGGTTGGTGGTTATCATGTAACCATAACCATCTGCCTTGCAAGGAATCGAAAGAGCAGTTTCGAGGTAGAGGCGGATGAATCTGGAGTCAACGACGGAATCTAGACGTCCCCAGTGCAAAACAGGGCGCGTTCTTAGCCAGTGTCAGACATCGGGTCAGACACGGAGTGGAGGTTTCGAGCAGGTGGGTGGTTGGGTACCCAGCAGGCAACCGGGGAATGTACCACCCGCTTGTTTTCGGGACCCAACCATTTGAATAGTAATGTGGGCCGACCCAACAGTCACTTCGCCAATCATATGCACCGATTTTTTCATGTTTGTTTCTTCAGACCATTCGCGTCGTCTCCCGCCCACGTGTGACCTGCCCGCAAATTAACTGTACCACGGATTGGGGTGCGGATTGGTACGTTCGCAGCTGGTCGCCTTGACCGGTTGGAAGTGGGCAGGACCATACGGTTGCATAGACCACCTAGTCGCCTCGACCAGGTGTGAGATTGCACTGGTACACACGTCGATTGCTGTACACTGTACAACCTAGGGTAATCGGGTAACCCTAATGGTCTACCCAACCCAGCCATTCGAGGCAACCCGACCAGCTCCCAAAATGAAGGGTACGTAACATGCTCTAAGTGACTGTTTTTGTGAGGAAAATCGAGGTTTGGAAGAGACAAATTTGAGACTAAGGGTGTGTAACATTGCAGCGACCAAACCCGAAATCCGACGATTTGGTTGGGATAGCAAGTGTGAAGTGATTTTCACGCCAATTGACCACGATAACGACCAGCGACAAACACCCAAACCAAGCAACCGTATGTGTGACTAGTTTGGTCACAAAAAACATTCTCGCCATGATAGTCATCCGTAGATACAATTTGGGGAACACCCATAGTTTAGCATTACGTTATAGTCCCCGAATTTGTGTCGCGAAGGCCTATGACGTTGTTAAATACTACCATCTATTCGTGCCCCGTATATTCCACACGCCGTTCAAATGTTGAAATTTGGATTAGGCCTTTTAATTCTTATTATGGGGGTAGTTAAGGGTGGGTGTTTCTAAATCGACCACGCAATAACCACGTTCATCGTAAATCTACGGAGAACTCTGTCAGAAATAGGTAAGAATCAGAAACAGCAAAGAGGGAGTTTTCACTAGCAGGCAGTTGAGTACATATAGCAAACCCTAATTTGGGCTATACTCGCTATAGAGTACCCCACTGCAGGCTAGACAAACATCACATTCTGACACACCCCCATAGTCAAAGTGGGGTATAATCAGCACAGCAAGCAGGCAGAGCAGTAGGTTCACAAATACAAGCAAAGCTAGAGGCTATCACAGAGGGCAAGTGAGGAGGAGGAGAAACTGCGGGGGCGAGAAGATGGGAGGCGACGGCTGAAGCTGCAGACACACGGGCAACAGGAGTGCGCAGCACTGTCGCTACCAGGCTAAACCCGGACTACACGGCGACAGGCGCAGCTGGCTCGCTGTGCTCCCAGGAGTGCTCACACTGTGGCTACCGGGCGCAGAGCCCCGGACTACACGGCCACAGGGGGTCGTGGCTCTCTGGACTTCAGGCGCTGCGGACGACAAGACGACTGCCTCCACTCAACTTCCCCCAGCTGTCCCACACCCCTTTCACACACTCCCTGTTGAACCTCTAGCACCGCTCACACGCCACCCCCCTCGTTCTACTTCGACGGCTCCAACATATCCACCCCCCTCAGCGGTAGCTGCAGCAGTGGGAGACGGAGGAGGAGGAGCAGAAGAGGCCTGACACACCCGTCACCCCCATACTCGCCACCCCCACACTCGCCACCCCCAAACCCTAACACAGGCAGCAGCGGGGGGCGGTGCGCGGGCAGCAAATCGGGAGAGGGCGCGCGGCGCCCTGGGGCGGCGGAAGGGGCCGCGCGCGGCTCCCCAGGGCGCCGCGACGGGGCAGCGGGGGGCCGCGCGCGGCTCCCTAAGGCGTCGCAACGGGGTAGCTGGGTCGCGCGCGGCTTCCCAGGGCGTCGCGACGGTGCAGCGGGGCCGCGCGCGGCTCCCAAGGGCGTCGCGACGGGGTTGCGGGGGTCGCGTGCGGCTCCGCGGGGCGACGAGCGGTTCGACGGGGCAGAAAACCGCCGCGCGCCTCGGGGCGCACGGCGGGCAGAAAACCGCCGCGCTTTCGGAGCGCGCGGCGAGCAGAAAACCGCCATGCGCCCCGAGCGCGTGGCGGGAAGAAAAAACGTCGCGCGCCACGGGGCGCGCGACACACAAGACAGCAGCGGAAGCATCGGGCGGGACCACCCACAGGATCGACCCAGGAGGGTCGACCTGCTCTGATAGCATGTCAGAAATAGGTAAGAATCAGAAACAACAAAGAGGGAGTTTTCACTAGCTGGTAGTTGAGTACATATAGCAAACCCTAATTTGGGCTATACTCGCTATAGAGTACCCCACTGCAGGCTAGACAAACATCACATTATGACAAACTCCCCGTGTGTTTGTTACCAGTTCCCTCACATATCGACCAACACGCTCAAATAGTCGGACTTTTGGTTTGGTCGTTGCAATGTTACATGCCATAAGGGTCGTATAACTCGATGTATGATTAAGCTTTATAGATGGATTTTATGAGTCGAATGTTTTATTTATTGACCAATTAGATGATACAAAGGCCCTGTTCCGCACGCATTTTGAGGGTGTCGTTAGAACCAGCCCGCAGGCTTCCGCATGTTAAATTTGGATGGCAGCCGTTTGGGCTGCCCATGAAATCGAGTTAGGGTGCAACTTCGCAACGGGATAGTAAGCCTGCAGGAGAGGCCACTTTGGAGACGGGGTCGAGGAGCATAAACTAAAATTGCACCTTCTAAGGACGTGTCTTGCTTCGACTGGTCCACGAGGCCGCTCCCGCCTGGTCAGCCCGTGAATTTGTGCCTCCCAAGATACCCTCGACTGGTCCACCGGACCACTGTGGACCAACCTCACAAACCAGCTTCGGACTGGCTGTAGTGGGGTTTACATATGTAATCTACAGTGGCATGCGTGTGAACACTACTCCGCGTTCTGCCCAGAACTGGGTTACCATGACCCGCAAAATTTCCTCCCTAGGCTGGCGTTAAGAGGGCATCGCACGTGCCTCCATTGGTACGGTGTAGCAAGCACATCACTCCACCAGCGCTAGGACGTGTAACACTACTATGTTCACAGCACAAGCTCCTCATCCGTTTTTTTTTTTTTTTTTTTTTTTTTTGAGAAATAGGGTCCAAGAATGGTTCCGAGCGTATTACAGATTTAGCATTATTTTACTTTGTACAGCACAGCACAGACGAGGTTCGAAATCGGTAGGATTGCCAACGAACCTTGATAACGGCTAGACACTTATCATTGGTTTCATTTGATCGTTCTCAAAGATTCGATGAATCATCTTCTAGTGTTGTGCGTCTGTTGCCACAAACCTAGTGCGTAGATAGCATTCGGGTTGGGTAGGGGACATGCGCGGACCTCTCTTTCGTTTTGGCAGCAAAAATGTTTTGCAAAAGGGCTGGAGGAGAAATGAAGGCAAATGAACTTTCATCCTGAGTTCTTCCAGCGCCCTCACCTAGCCTTGGCATGTGTCTCTACAAAACACCACCAAAAAGAGCAATTCTGCAGGCTTCATATCATCTTCACCGGCTATATGTGCCTCTGAAAGTGCCAGTAACTAGACGCTTGCACTACGGAGAGTCCTATTTAAAACATAAATATATATCTAAAAGGTGGGATTTAAAGATCAATAGGAACTTGAAACAATGATTACCAATTTACAAGCGCACATCCTCGTCCCAATGATTTCGCTCATAACAGTGGAAGGATGGGAAGAGAAGGCACGGATGGGCAAGCGAGAGAATGAGACTTGACGATGGGCGGCGATACGAGGGTGCTGGCGCGTTGAGGGGTGGGGAAGCGTGCCGAGGGGCGGAGGAAGAGAGCCGCGACGATGGAGATGGCAGCTGCGAAACAAGGATGGTGCAGTGCGACAAGGTTTCTGATGCAACGTGGGGAGGAGAGGCTTTTTTATGGGAGGCACGACGAGAGGAGGGGAGGCGCAACGAGAATTGTGGCGCAACAATGGGAGGGGAGGCACGAGATGGCTTCACTCGCCAACGCGACCATACTGAAGTGTTTTTTAATACGAATGTAGTTTTTGCAATCAGACAAAAGCTATTCCATATGGGAAGCTACAATATTGTCCGGACGGCAGCCTCTTTGAGTCCTCTATCTTGTTTTGTTTTGTTTTGTTTTGTTTTTTTTTTTTTTAATTATTCGGCACGAGCTATGCGCGCATATATGGGGGTAGCAGACAAGGATGCAATATACGCATATCATCTAAGCAAAGTTGTCATGGTGGATTTTTCTCGATTCGTGGTTCTTTAGGGACCTCGAGCAATTGCCCGCAATCGTACGTCACGAGATGCCGGGCCTATCCCGGCGGTTGGTGACGATGGAAGATGACGCTTTGTTGACAGAGAAGAAGGTGTTTGAGAAAGTGTATCGAGCGATGGAGGGGGAGGCACGTATTTTTGTTGTCACTTTCTCCCTCACTGGTCAGGTAGTGTGGGCATTCCATGGCTGACATCGAGAAGATGGGAGCGTCGAATAGCATGCGATTATAAATCACTACTGGTGCGCCTTCGAAGCGTCCAATTCACCCCTTTGATCGTGCACACGAGTGCTTATGCACACGTTTTTGGCGTTGGTTGTGCTAGCAGCAACGGAGCAGGATATAAAAGTTGGTATATCTTTTGTTTCTATAGGCATTGACAAGACAGTCAAAACTAATCAAACTACCATTTTTTTCTTCTGAACCTGACAAAGGCAATTAGCATAACTTTTCTGGTGGTCCGCCACTGCTCTTGGTTGCTCACATAGCAGCTCGTCAACAATTGATACAATTGTGTGCCAATACACCTTTTGGTTTACATGGGAGTGCAACATGACGGCATGCGTAAATACATTGATAACATACAAGGGTGTGAATGAAGGACTATACAGAATCACGAGTGGAAAGCAGAAGACAATACTGCTGGCATAAGTGGAGGATTACCCACTTGATCAAAGGCGAACGACATGCTGCTGCTATCGAGCACCAGCTAGCGCTGATCTGTCCAGCAATACTGCTGGTGCGCTGATGAGCTGCATACATGCTCCAAGAGGTACATCCCCCGGCCAACTACTGTTGCTACTGGCCGGCAGCAGTTGCCAGTACTGGCCATCTGCTGCTGGTGCACGCTACCAGATGGTGCTGTGCTACTACAGATCCCCATCAGTTGCGGCCGCTTTGCGCCACAAGTTGGTGATGACGAGCACCAACAGCTGCTACTGCTCCAGTGTGCCACTAGTTGCTGCCATTGTACCATATAAATTGTGTGTTATTCAAACGGGGTGAGAAGTAGCCATATCACATAGTAAGGGTGGATGGTGACTCATTATGTCAGGGGGAGAAGGTGGGAGAAGCTGTTCACGTCACAGGTAACTCAAAACTAGTGCAGAAGTTCGCCAGTTCTCTTGATGTCGCTAGCTGGAAACTGCGGTACTGCCAACCACCATATTTTCAATGCACCAACTGTCGCTGCTGCAGCCGTGCACCACCAGCCACTGCTAACATTGCGTCACCTGCTACAGCTCATCCGCTGTCATTCGCCGCTACTGCCACGCGTGTGTTGCTGCTGCAGCTTGCCGTTGTTGTGCCCAAATACCGGATGATGCCGCTGGCAAACGCAATGAGCTGCAAAAGACGTGCCCCATGTGTTGCAATTGCCTCTGCCATGTATTTCTGCTGAAGCGGGCCACCAGCTGTTGCTGACATCGACCCCCGGGCAAGACACCGCTGTTGCAGAGGCGAATGCCAATGTCGCATGGTCGTACAGCAGCGCGACATGTTGCTGCTAGTTGCAGCAGCCGCAAGAGTTAAAAATTGTGCAAAAAGCACCGCACCCGCATAGGCCGACTATTGAAGCAAGGGAGTACTAGTCGCCATGCGCGCTAGGGGCTACGGTCGTGCGACAGCAACAGCAACCACACATCGGATGCTAAGTAGCACGGCAGATTCTACCGGCGCATTAGCAACTTTAGTCGCGCAGTCGCTACTGGTGAGTCGCGAACAGCAGTGCGCCATGTTGTATAGGACGCCATGTATTGGATTATACGACTGGTTTTTTCTACGCTGACACTATGCCTCCCTAGCAGGTTGAACCAGGACCCACCCATTTCGGAAGTGCATTTTTGTTTAAACCCCATAGATGGGGTGTTGTGATAAATGGAAAGTATATGATCCATAAGCGGGTTTAGCAGCGTAAACTGTATACAACGAGGAAATGATTTGTTTCATGTTCATCATAACTAAGCATTCGTTGGGTTGTTCTCATGCGCGGCTCGTACCGCAAATCTCCCCACAATCTGGATGCCCATCCATGATTCGCCATCTCAGCTACAGAGAACCTCGCTTACGTGTACCTTGACACTCCTGACGTGGGAATAACACTTGAGCCTACTTCATCTCAGCCCAACAAGCTTCGTCATATTGTGCTTGGCTGATCCGAAAACGACAACACCCTGAATCCCCACACCGATGTGAGCCCAGTTTTCCTAGATGTAATTGCAGTATTCTGACATTGTTCGATATGCACTGCAATTCTCGCAGTCGGGGTTTGGTTCCTCGATGTTAGCAGACTCCTGGATAACAGGTATGTACCTCGTCTGTTTGCTGTATCGGGCAAAGAAGAAATGTGCAACGGGCAACCAGCAATGGCAAATGGGCAGTGCGCAGCGGACTCAGGCATTCACTAATCCTAACCGTCCAACAAGTATAGCTCAAACATGTGGGCCATCCGATGAACGATGGATGTAATGAGACAGTCAGAAATTGTCGTCTTGCTGAAGGATCAAGGCCTCAGGAAGGAACTCCTGTCGTCTACTTTGAATCTTTGAATCTTATTCCTCTCAACCCTCCCCGACCAGACTCGACCCAGACACCCTTCTCCCCTCCCACAGACTCCCTTGAGAATTGCATCCTTCCCCCCTCACCTCACCCCCCGTGAAGTCCCTTCCCTTTCTCAACACAATCCGAATCGCGATATTCTCCATCTTCTGTTTCACGTTTTCCCTCTGGGCTTCTCCAATAGATAATGGTGTAAGGGGGTTCCGGGAATGCTGCTGACTCTCCCCACCCCACCACCCCCTGTTATTTATCCCTTCCAGTACGATAACTCACGCATTCAGTTCAGGTGCATTCCGATCAGCCGACTCTAGCGACGAGTAAGCCACCTCCGCGTCAACTACCACTGTATCCACCGATCAGGGATTACTTGAATGAGTCGTGAGGAGTGTCTATCATCGGGACTCCTATAGGACATTCACACCATTATCCGCGATGTGATTTTGTGGTTGGATGGTACATCGAAATAGACCGTGACGTCATTCCGTCCAAGCGAACTTCCTCGCCTCCTTTTGATCCGTTCCAGTATAATGGCCTGTCGATCTCGGGGAGCTGAAAAGTGCGCTTGACTAAGATTCTCCTAGCACGACCCGCCGTACCTTCCGCACGAGCTTACATTCTTCGCGTGCCAACTGCATTTATTCGTAGTCCCTTCTACTAAACAATCAGACACCAACCGACCCCGCCCAGCAAACGACGTTATTGTTTCTGAGCACTCAAGCCATTCGCTGCCAGTAGCTCCGTCGTCGCAGAAATGGCGGCGGCGGACATTTTCGATGCGCCTAAAAAACCGGCGACGGACATGGACTCGTCATTTTTGGCCGCCGCGCGACTCTGGGCCTCCACGGGCGGCATCACCTTCCGCAGCTCGCGGCGCTCCGTCGACCTCGTGCACGCCGCCGGCGGCGCGCCGCCCTCCGCGAGTCGCGCCGCGGTCTCGACGTACCTGCAGCGCATCCAGCGTCCCGGCCTCGTGCAGAACTTCGGCTGCCTGCTCGCGATTCCCGGCGACGGGAAAAGCTTCGATCTCGTCGCTTTCAGCGAGAATGCCGGCCAGATGATCCTGAATGAGTCTCCTCCGGCCCCGGCGGCGGCAGTGCCGTCGACGGCGGCCGGCGCGGGCGCCAGCGCCGCGGGCGCCAGCGCCGCGGACGCAGGAGCTGCGGACATTGACGGAGCGGGATCTGCGGCAGCAGCGGTGATTGGACGGTCGCAGACGATTCCGGAAGGGGCGGAGTTGGCGCCGACTGCGGAAGCTATCCGGAGGGGGGAAGCGGGCGCTGCGGCGGGCGGAGCGGCGGCGGGCGGCGGCGAAAGGAGACGGCTGGTAAAAATGGCGTCCGAAGGGAGCACACTTCTCAAACGTAACGCCCCCCTCCTTTCCCCCTTCCCCCCTTCCTCCTCCCCTCCCCCTCCCCCACTCCTCCCCTCCTCCTCCCCCCTACCCTCCTCTCCTTTTCTCCCGTTTACTTCCCTCTCGTCCCTCTCGTCCCTCTCGTCCCTCTCGTCCCTCTCGTCCCTCCCGTCGCTTCCTCTCTCCCCGCCTCCTCCCCACCTCAATCCCCCTCTCATGATCATTCCCTTGGTCCGCTCGGTTTGAGAACAGCGGCATTGTTATGAATGAGCCTTGTTCACCATTCCTTACTCTCCGTCCTCACCGCTTTCAACCCACATTTATCTCTCTGTCCCACGTCTCACCGTCATCCCACCTCCACCTCCACCTCCACCTCCACCTCTCCCGCTTGTTTCCCCCTGCCATCCCGCCTCCCGCCTGTCCCCTCCATCACCGTGCCCTTTCACCCTTCCCCCCACTCCTCCCCCCTCTCTCCTCCCCTCCTCCCCCACCCCTTCATCTTGCCTACCCTCTCCACCGTTCCCAACCCCTCCCAAAATCCTTCCAGCGCTGAACTTTCTGGAGCGCATCCGCTGGGCGATCTTCCGCTCCAACAGCCGCGGCCGCGGCAAGGGCGCAAGGAGATCCCGCCGCCTCTCCGCGAATGCCGCCGGCCCCGTGTCCTCCGCGCCCGCAGCTGGCGGCGCGGCGGGGAGAGCAAGCAGTGACGCGATTGGGGGGGAAGTGGGCGCGGGGAGAGACGGAAGCGGAGGCGGAGGGGCAGGCGGAGGCGGAAGGGGAGGCGGAGGCGCAGCGAGTGTGAGCGACAGCGCCATTATGGTGGGCCGCGGACTGGAGGAAGCTGCAGTTAGGACGCTGGGGGAAGGGGCGCGCGCTAATGCGCAGGGGAAAGGGGCGCCTGCTAGTGCGCAGGGGGAAGCTAGTGCTGTACCGGGAGAGGCGGAAGATGCTGTTGCTCCTCTTCCCCAGACGAAAATAGGTGAGTGCAACGGTGTGACTGGTGTCAGGAGTGGTGCTGATGGGTTTAGGCGTTGGTTCACGCAGGGGAAGTGCACGCGTGAGCAATGCCCCCCCACCCCACTCCCCCGCCCGCCCCCCCCACGGTTCACCTTCCTTCCTTCCCGCACTCTCTGCCTCACAGCGTAGGTGCTGCAGGGTTTTTTTGAGAATTCTAAAAAAAACCTTCCTTCCTTCCTTCCCGCACTCTCTGCCTCACATCACAGCCTAGGGAAGGAAATAACGGCCTACAGCAGAGCAGATGATGGTTTGCTCCTGAGAGCACATAACGGCCTTCAGCAGCACATAACGGCCTTGAGCAGCACATGGCATGATATAGCGTCTATGAACCCCGTGCTGCTGCAGTGCCATCACCACTCCAACCGCACCTTATACTCTACCCCCTTCCCCTGCCCCCTCCCCCTCCCTCTTCCCTCCCCCAGCCTTGGGAATGGACGTGAGGAGCCTTTTCACCCTGGAGAGCGTTGAGGCATTAGAGAAGGCAGTGGCAGCAGACGACATAGCGCCCATGAACCCCGTGCTGCTGCAGTGCCAACCATGTCCTTTGAGAATTCTCAAAAAACATATCCCTGCTCCCTTCTCCCTTTGCCATCCTCCCCATCCTCCACTCCACCTACTTCCCCTCCCTCCCTCCCTCCCCCTCCCCCCCAGCCTTGGGAATGGACGTGCGGAGCCTGTTCACCCCAGAGAGTGTTGAGGCGTTAGTGAAGGCAGTGGCAGCAGACGACATAGCGCCCATGAACCCCGTGCTGCTGCAGTGCCATCACTTTCCCTCCCCATTCCCCATCCTCCTCATGCTTCCCCTCCCCGCCCCCCTCCCCCTTCCCCCCAGCCTTGGGAATGGACGTGCGGAGCCTATTCACCCCAGAGAGCGTTGAGGCCCTTGAAAAGGCAGTGGCAGCAGACGACATAGCGTCTATGAACCCCGTGCTGCTGCAGTGCCGCCGCACCAACCGCCCCTTCTACGCCGTGCTCCACCGCACCTCCGCTGCTGCTGATGTCGCTGACACTGCCAACACCAGTGGCACCAGCAGCACCAGCGGTAGCAGCAGCACCATCCCTACCAGCCTCACCAGCAGCAGCATCCTCACACTCCCTGGTACCGCCAGCCCATCTTCTCCTGTCGCCACTCTTTCACCCGCCATACCCGCTGTTGCGACCACCACCAGTGCCTCTACCGCCACCGCTGCCCCTAGCCCCGCCGCTGCTACCACCACCAACCCAGAAGGCAACCTCATAAGCATAGACCTCGAGCCCATTACACCGCTCGACCCGGCTGTGGACGGGGCAGGCGCGCCTCTCACCCACCGGCTGGCTCTCTCGGCTGTGAAGAGGCTGCAGAAGGTGGCGCCGGGGAACATCAGCGCGCTGTGCCGGGTGGTAGTGGAAGAGGTGAGGGAGCTCACTGGGTACGACCGCGTGGTGGCTTATAAGTTCCATGAAGACGGCCATGGGGAGGTTGTTGCGGAGGACATGCGGAAGAGGAGGCGGAAGGGAGGGGGAGGGGGAGCGGGAGCAGGGAAAAAGGGAGGGCAGGAGGAGGGGAGGGAGGCGAGCGAGGCGGGGAAAGAGAGGGAGCAGCAGGGGGAACAGCTGGAGCGAGGAAAGCAGCGGGAGGAAGGGGTGGAGGGAGAGGAAGGGGAGGACGAGGAGGAGGATGAGGGAGAAGAGAAGGGCATGGAGCCGCTCCTAGGCTCTCACTTCCCAGCAACGGACGTACCACAAGCAACCCGCCTCCTCTTCTTCCAGACGCGCTCGCGCATGGTGGCCGACTGCCAGTCCCCCCCCGTGCCCCTGCGCCAGCACCCCCTCTCCGCCCCGCATCCCCTCAAGCTTGGCGGGTCGACTCTGAGAGCAGTGGACCCGTGTCACGTGCAGTACATGTGTAATATGGGGATTAGAGCGTCGTATGTGCTGGCTATTATGGTGCCCACGCGTGGGGGGAACGCGCTGGGGCAGCCGGGGAGAGGCTCGGGGGGCGGGCATGGGGGGGGGCAGTCGGGGGGAGGGCAGTTTGCAAGGAGTCAGTCGGGGGGGAGCCAGCAGGGGGGAGGGGGAGTGGGGGGAGGGGAAGGGGGGGGATTCGGATGGCTGGATCAGCAGCAGCAGGGGAAGCAGGGCGTACCTCTTGCCCGCAGCGCCAGTGCTTCTTCTGGCGCGGGCTTGGGGGGAGGTGCTGCTGGGGGGGATGCGGGGAGGGGAGGAGGGGGGGATTCGTGGGACATGCGGTCGGACGATGGGGGGAGTGTGTCAGGAGGAGGGGGAGGCGGAGGGGGAGGGGGAGGGGGAGTGCGGCTGTGGGGGCTGGTGGTGTGTCATCACATGTCCCCCCGCGTGGTGCCCTTCCCTGTCCGCTCTGCCTGCGACTTTCTCATGCAGGTGAGGGGGAGGGTTAGGGGGAGTGGGAGGGGGGGGGGGGGGGACGAAGAGGGGGGAGGGGGGGTGCAACTGTGGGGGCTCCTCGTGTGTCATCACATGACTCCCCGCGTGGTGCCCTTCCCCGTCCGTTCTGCTCGTGATTTCCTCATGCAGGTGAGGGGGAGGGCAGGGGAAGGGCAGGGGGAGGGCAGGGGGAGGTCAGGGGGAGGGCAGGGGGAGGGTGAGGTTGTTGGATGGTGAGTATGTGGTCACCCTGTTCCCCATCATGACTTCTACGGAGATTCAAATCAAATGGCCGCCCCATCCATTTCCCCCGCCCAAACCCCTTCCCCTCTCCAAACAGGCGTTTGGCCTGCAGCTCTCAGTGGAGCTAGAGATAGCCGCCCAGCTGCATGAAAAACAAATCCTGCAGATCCAGTCCCTGCGACACGCTCCTCTCGGACAACCCCATCCGAGCGCTCGTATCCTCCGCGCCCAACATCACGGACCTCCTTCCCTGCCTTGTGACGAACGGGATGGCTTCTAAGGTGCCTCAAGTCCCCCCTGCCCTCCTTCTTTCTCTCATTCCCTCCCTCCTCCCCCCTCTCTTCCAGGCATTTGGACTCCAACTCTCAGTGGAGCTGGAAATCGCCGCCCAGCTCCACGAGAAGCAAATCCTGCAGATCCAGTCCCTTCTCTGCGACACGCTCCTGACCGACAACCCCATCCGAGCGCTGGTCTCCTCCGCGCCCAACATCATGGACCTCCTGCCCTGCGACGGCGCAGCAGTCCTCTTCCGCGGGGAGCTCTCCCGCCTCGGCGTCTGCCCCTCAGAAGACATGATCATCGAGCTCGTAAGGTGGTTGCAGAGGGAGCACTGTGGGTCCAGTGGGCTGAGTACCGATAGCCTCAAGGCTGCCGGGTTCCCGTATGCCGATACGCTTGGAGTGGATGTCTGCGGGATGGTGGTTGTGTGCTTCTCGCCTGCTGACGAGCAGCAGCAGCAGCAGGAGCGGCAGGGGCAGGGGCAGCAGGGGCAGGGGCAGCAGGGGAGGGAGGCGGCGTCGCCGGTTCCCCCGTCCCCATCCGGCAGCACCGCTAGTGGTGGTGGCGGTGGGTGGGGCGGTGCGAGTGGGAGTTTCAGCAATGTGAGCGGCGTGACGGGGGACTACCTGTTCTGGTTCCGGTCGCACGTGGAGAAGTCGATCAAGTGGAGCGGCGCGCGCCACGACTCGCGGGATGCGGACGACGCCAGGCAGCGCCACCCCAGGGCGTCTTTCAAGGCGTTTCTGGAGGTGGTGAGACACACGGCGCTGCCGTGGGTGGACGTGGAGGTGGACGCCGTGCACAGCCTGCAGGACCTGCTGTGCAAGTCTGTGCGGCGCAAGGAGAGCATGGGGCGACTGATTTCCATGGGCAAACAGGTGAATGCAGGGGGGCGAGCTGGTGGGTTAGCTGGTAGGGCAGCTGAGGTAGCAGGGCTAGAGAACTTAAGTTGATGCTGTCACTGAGAAGAAAGGTCCTCGTCCTCGTCCTCGTCCCAGTGCCAGATGCTCACTGAATCAACTATGCAGGCTGCAGAGTTTTCAGTGAGCTGTCCCTCTTGGTCCTGGTCAGGTGAAGGGGGATGGGCCAGAACTTGGGCCTTTTTGCAGCAGGGGACGAGCATCCTCGTTCACCCCTTATTATTCCTTTCTGTCCCTTCGCATCCCCCTTCACCGCTCTCCCCCTTCCCCAGAATAACAGCGAGCTGGCAGTGGCAGCGGACGAGCTGGTCCGTCTGATCGAGACAGCGTCTGCGCCGATCCTGGCCGTTGATCTGGAGGGCAACATCACGGGGTGGAACGGCAAGGTGGCGGCCATCACAGGGCTCTCCTTCTCCGACGCCATCGGCCAATCGCTGCTCGACACGTGTCTTGATCCGTCCTGTGTGGACAAGACGAGGACCGCGTTTGAGCTCGCTCTGGCAGGTGAGAGCAGCAGCAGTCAGCAGTCTGGAGCACGTTCGGTTACCGGGTTACCTCTCCCCCCCACTCCTATCCTTCCCCCATCCCCGCCCCCCAACCCCAACCTTCCCCTCTCACCCCCCACACTTTTCTTCCCCATCAACCCTCCTACGTCCTCTGACCCACTCCCTTCCCATCCCATCCCCTCTCCTCCTCCATTATCCATTATCCAACCAGTGAGCATGCTGATGGCGAGGAAAGAGTCTATTGAGAAAGATGATTATTGCCGTTGCCAAATAAGGATGACAAAACGGCAAACCCTTTTAAGAATATCACTTACTAATATGCACATGACATTGCCACATGCACTTACACATGCACATTGACGACACATGCACTTACACTTACTTGCAAATGGACACATGCATACGCACATGCACATGCCCATGCAGGGGAGGAGCAGCAGCAGCTGGAGCTGAAGTTGAAGCGGTGGGGGTCGGTTCCCAAGGGCAAGGGGCCTCCAACGCCTTTCGCCATCCTGCATGTGAGTGAATTTGAGACGTCTCAAAAACACCCTCTCTACAAGGGGCCTCCAACGCCCTACGCCATCCTGCATGTGAGTGAATCGCATCGACTTCTGACGCTACCAAATACTCAGGTGAACAGCCGTATCCGTATCCATCTACCACTTTTGAGACGTCTCAAAAGTCTCAAAAAGTTGACATGTCTCAAAAGCTGACGCTACCAAGGAAACTGACTCAGGTGAACAACCGTATCCGTATCCGTATCTGTCTCAATTCACGTGGCCCCTTTTCGGTAAGTCAACACTGAGGCTTCTTTTTGAGCCGAATAGAATAAAACTGCGCTGGTGAACATCCGTATCTCACCCCAACCAACCCTCCTGAATCCCATCCTAATTCTGCGTTTTCTCTGCAGGTGAACACGTTTGTGAGCCTCGTGCGGCAGGATGTGGTTGTCAGGTCATCTCCCTCCCCCCCCCCCCCCCCCCCCCCTATCCTCCACCCTCACCCCCCGCACCGCACTCCTCACATAACCCACTGCACCGCACTCCATCCCTGGGCAAACCTTCTGCAGGTGAACACGTTTGTGAGCCGGGACTCGGAGAAGAGCATCGTCGGGGTGTGCTTCGTGGGACAGGACGTGACTGAGGAGACAGCTGTCAGGACGCGATTCGTGCGCATTCAGGGAGACTTCACCACCATCATCAACACACACAACTCCCTCATGCCGCCCATCTTCGCCACCAATGGTGAGTCACTTCGCCACCCGTTTCCGCCGCCCATCGCTCCACCGCCCATGCCTCTGCTCTGCTGCCATTCTATTGCTCACTACTTTCCAGTCGACTCAAAAGTCACCTTGCTGCCATTCCATTGCTCACTACTTTCCTCGTACCCATGCCCATGCCCTTCTGAACCCGTGCCCTTGGTCAACCCTTTTCAACCCATCCCAACCCCAGCATCTGGCTTCTGCACCGAGTGGAACCCAGCCATGGAGAGCATCACCGGTCTCAAGCGCTCCCAGGTATGCTTTCCTCTACTCGTGAATCAGTGTTTCCTTCCTTCCCACTCACACCTCCCACGCAACCACCTTTTTCCCTCTTCTTGTGTTATCCCCCAAGCGCTTGCATTGCATGTCCAGTGCTGCCTTCACTTCACTTTGCTTCCCTTCCCTGCTCCTGTCAGCTCTCCCTGTTGCTCATCAACCCACACTTCTCTTCTCTCCCCTGCCTGAGATCCTCCCTTCCCCCCTCCACCACTACCGCACCCACCCTATTCACCACTACCTCTCCACCACCCTCCCTCACCCACCGTCCCCCACCCCTCCATCCAGGTGTTGGACTGCATCCACCTGGAGCGTGTTGGACTACATACTTCCAGGGACCACGTTTCGCCACATGTGCTGCTTTCCCCTTTCGCCACATGTGCTGCTCTCCCTTTCCTTGCTTCACACCCTCCCTTTTCCCTATCCACCTCTCCCTTCCCACCCACCCCCTCCCATCCACCCTCCACCCCCCTTCTCCCAACCCTCTCCCCGCCCTCCCCCATCCACCAGGTGCTGGGCTGCATGCTGCCAGGGATCATCTTTCGCCGCATGTGCTGTTCTTTCCCCTCTGCTTCGTAGCGTCCCTCCTTCCCATCACCTCTCCCTTCCCACCCTTCCCCCATCCACCCTCCCCCATCCATCCATACAGGTGTTGGGCTGCATGCTGCCAGGGATCATCTTTGGCCGCATGTGCCAGCTGGCGGACGACGATTCGCTCACGCGGCTGCTCATCATGCTCTCGCGGGCCATGGCGGGGCAGGACACTGGTGGGGAGGAGAAAACACACTTTGCCTTCCGCAACGCCAAGGTAGGGAGCTTGCCGCTGCTTGATGCTTTTTGAGGCGCCTCAAAAACGCCTCATAGTTCAGCAAACCCTTAGAATCACTTAAGCAACAAAGGAATGACACGAAAAAAGAAAGAAGAGAAGAGAAAAAAAAGGTTAAGCAAGAAACTCTCAACTCGTAATTAGCAAGCAGCTTCAACCAGTCCTTTTTTGATGCGCTGAAAAACAATTCTCAGCGCAGCAGCGGTTTTCCTGAGCGTGTTTGTTCCTTGCAAGTCTCCATCCTCCCTCTTCCCCTCCCACTCCCCTCCTCCCCCTGCCAGGGTCGCATGGTGGAGGTGCTACTGACGGTGCAGCCGCTGTTTTGCTTCAGTGCCCTTGTTCAATTAGCTATCCTCCTTCTCCCCATCCCACCCCCCGCCCCCTGTCAGGGTCGCATGGTGGAGGTGCTACTGACGGTGCAGCAGCGGCAGGGCGGCGACGGGCGGGCAGCAGGGGCGTTTGGGTTCCTCCACGTGGCAAGCCCTGAGCTCATGCAGGCCCTGGCCGTGCAACAGAAGGCAGAGGGGGTGAGCGGTGTAACAGGGGGAGGGGGTGAGGCGAATGGAAGGGAGCGGGGGGGGATGGGGATGGGGGAAGAGAGGATGATCGTGACAAGGATGGGGAGTGTTTCCATGCTTGCATGTGGCAAGCCCTGACCTCATGCACGCTCTGCTGGCCGTGCAGTAGAAGGCGGAGGAGGTGAGTGGGAGAACAAGGGGAGTGACACGAACGAAAGAGCGGCGGGTGAATGAGGAAAGGAGGTTGGGCTGGATTGGGTTGGGCTGGATTGGGTTGGGCTGGATTGGGTTGGGCTGAATGTTTTCATGCGCATGCACGCTCCCTGCTGCACCGCTCCCTTTTTGACTCCCTTTTTGGCTCCCTTCTTGACTCCCTTTTGACTCAATGTTTGGTTTCCACTCTTCCTTCCCTTCCTCATTCCACACACCACCAACCCACCCCTCGGTTCCCCCATCTCCCCCATTCACCATCCATCAGCTCATCGAGCGTCACTCCAAGCAGCTAGCATACGTGCGGCAGGCCATGGCAGGGGCAGTGCACGGCATGGTGCATGCACGCTCCCTGCTGCACCGCTCCCCTTCTGACTCCCTTTTGGTTTCCACTCTTCCTTCCCTTCCTCCTTCCACACACCACCACCCCTTTCCCCCCATGCACAATCCCCTCTCTTTCCCCCAATGCACCATCACTCCACCAGCTAATCGAGCGTCACTCCAAGCAGTTGGCCTATGTGAGGCAGGCCATGGCAGGGGCAGTGCACGGCATGGTGCATGCACGCTCCCTGCTGCACCGCTCCCTCCTCGACGCCTCCCCCTCCTCGCCCTCTGCTCACGCCGCCCCGTCTGCCGCCGCCCCAGGCGGCAAGGTTTGGCAGTTTGTGGAGGCGATGGCGCGGTGCGACGCGCAGCTGATGCGGCTGCTGCACACTCAGATGGATCCGCTGGGCGGCGGGGAGGGCAGTGGCGGTGGGAGTGATGCTGCAGTGTTCTCCCACCCCAGGTATGCTGTGATGTGGTGTGTTGAAGACGTGTGCAGGGAGGTATGCTGTGATGTGGTGTGTTGAAGACGTGTGCAGGGAGGTATGCTGTGATGTGGTGTGTTGAAGACGTGTGCAGGGAGGTATGCTGTGATGTGGTGTGTTGAAGACGTGTGCAGGGAGGTATGCTGTGATGTGGTGTGTTGAAGACGTGTGCAGGGAGGTATGCTGTGATGTGGTGTGTTGAAGACGTGTGCAGGGAGGTATGCTGTGATGTGGTGTGTTGAAGACGTGTGCAGGGAGGTATGCTGTGATGTGGTGTGTTGAAGACGTGTGCAGGGAGGTATGCTGTGATGTGGTGTGTTGAAGACGTGTGCAGGGAGGTATGCTGTGATGTGGTGTGTTGAAGACGTGTGCAGGGAGGTATGCTGTGATGTGGTGTGTTGAAGACGTGTGCAGGGAGGTATGCTGTGATGTGGTGTGTTGAAGACGTGTGCAGGGAGGTATGCTGTGATGTGGTGTGTTGAAGACGTGTGCAGGGAGGTATGCTGTGATGTGGTGTGTTGAAGACGTGTGCAGGGAGGTATGCTGTGATGTGGTGTGTTGAAGACGTGTGCAGGGAGGTATGCTGTGATGTGGTGTGTTGAAGACGTGTGCAGGGATGTATGCTGTGATGTGGTGTGTTGAAGACGTGTGCATGTATGCAAATAAATGCATGTGCGCATGCTGCCATTCACGCCCTCAGCGCCCTTCACTATGGCCTCTCTCATCAACACAGCCGTCTGCCAGGCCATGCAGCACGCCATTCGCCGCTCCATCGATCTGACCTATGACCCCCCTCTCCCATCCATCTCCCTTTTCACTTGCTCTATTCCTCTCCAAAACCTTCCGTACCACAACCAAACCCTCCATGACCCCCCCAAATTCCCTCCATTCCCCTTTCCCCACGCCTTGCTGCCCCCACCACAGCATGCTACCATTCACGCCCTCTGCGCCCTTCACCATGGCCTCGCTCATCAACACAGCCGTCTGCCAAGCCATGCAGCATGCCATTCGCCGCTCCATCGATCTCACCTATGACGCGTTGCCAGATGTCGCGTCCACGCGCCTCGTGGGCAACCAGCTGCTGCTGCAGCAGGTGCTGGGCGGCATCACTGTAGCGGCCGTCAAGTCCACCCCGTCGGGCGGCACCGTTCGTCTGCAGCTGGCGCCCAGCCCCAGCCGCATGCTGGCCGTGGAGATTGAGCTGAGGTGAGTGGAGGCGTGATTTAGGGGAGTGGTGAGACAACTGGTGGGGCGAGCTGGGGGGTGTGGTGGTGCAGCTGGCGCCCAGCCCCAGCCGCATGCTGGCCGTGGAATGGAAATCGAATTGCAGTGAGTGTTGTTGAGTTGAGGCGCCTGAGCAAGCATCTCAAAAAACACCTCATGGTTTGCCTTGGGAAACCTGTGGGACTGACCTGCGGTGAGTCGTGTGGTGAGTGGTGATGCGAGGGGTGAGTGAGGTGAGTTGTGGGTTTCAATGCATTGAGTTGGCGGAGTTGATTCACGAGTTGGCGGAGTTGGCGGAGCTGAGGTTTGTTCGTCTGCAGCTGGCGCCCAGCCACAGCCGCATGCTGGCTGTGGAGATCGAGTTGCAGTGAGTGTTTTCAAGGAGTTACAAAAGTTGTTGCTGTTTTATAAAAAAGAAGTTTAATATAATTCCCTCGAATCTCCTGGAAGTGAGTATTCCCCCGGCCCCACCCCTGTTCTCCTCCCTCCCCTGGCGGTCGTGCCCCTGCAGAATCATCCAATCAGGGCCGGGAATCGACGACGCCATAATCCAGCACATGTTCGGCCTTGCCTCGTGCCCTGAGGATTCACCTGAGGCGTCGTACCAGGCGCATGCGCTCGTCTCGTACCGCTCGCTGCTGCGCCAGATGCATGGAGACGTGCACTACCTGCGGCAGCCCAATAAGTGCTACTTCCAGGTGTCACTAGAGCTGTCCTGTGCGCCTCGTGCGTGAGTGGTGGGGAGTGGTGCTGAGTGGTGCTGACTCGTGTGATGCTCCACCCAGATGCATGGAGATGTGCACTACCTGCGGCAGCCCAATAAGTGCTACTTCCAGGTGTCACTAGAGCCACCGTGTGCTCCGCATTCGTGGGTGGTGACTGGTGTGGTGAGGTGTAGTTTCAGACGATACGAAAGCTTTCTCCTGCGCCAGACGCATGGCGACGTGCACCACCTGCAGCAGCAGCACGAGTGCTACTTCCAGGTGTTGCTGGAGCTCCCGTGTGCTCCGGTGTGTGAGTGTGCAGATGGGTGCGATGAAATGATCAAGCGCCGTGGCACCACCTGAGGCAATCCAACTAGAGTTTTTGTCTTGAGTTTTTTTGTTGAAGTTCCTCGATTGGTTGGAGCTCTAGAGTCCTCCCGTGTGCCTCGTGCTAGAGTATTTATTGTGTGCAGTAAGTTTTGACAGGTGTTTTAGGTGCTTGAGCGTGTCATGTTACATGCGAAAGTCGTACTGGTATGGTTTAGTACCTAGGTGATTTAGCTAAGCACAGCTGGTTGGTGTGAGGAGCTCGATGTTCAGTGCCTTTCAGCGTGGCTTTTCATTTTGTGTGTGAGTGTATGATAGTGATATAACAAAGGCCGTTGAGAGTCTAGAATGGCTGGAGTGTTATGGTGTGGGGGTGGAATGATAACAGCTGTGGTACATGTAACTTCAACTCTAAGCTTGGTCTAGAAGGAAAAATCGTGTATTTATGTTGCAGAACAAGCGCAAATATGAATCGGAGAATGCACTACGAGTACCGCGACACACACTACGATACGGATACGAGATACTTCGCCGCGCGTTTTTCTCAAGGAATGGCATGGCAAGCAACCCCCAAAAGTCCTGCTTGCGTTATCTTGAAACTCCGTTCCTATCTCCGTCAGCAGCCAGTCTAGCAGGTAGCTACTACATTAGGCGGATTGAGCCAGTGCCGTCAATCGGTGCAAACCGCGTCGGTAGTTCCTCTCCTCCTTATGCTAGAGTCCCTTAGGCTTCCCGCTCTGCACGCGGAGGTTCCCTTAGCGGGGCCAAGGCAGTATCTCTCGCCGTTATCGCATTCGTTACAATGCCGTCGCGATGGTTGCGTTCCTGTCGCTGCTGCTGGTGCAGGACGCTTTGGGTCCGTCCATGGGAGCCTCGCGAAACGGTTTCCGTCGCTAGCAAAACGGGTAACCAGACGCGATGATAGGCAGTCTCTCGTTTCGCCTGTTCATGCCAGTAAGGACCCAGCGACCGTTAGGGACACCGGCAGCAAGTTGACGGACAAGTTGACGGACTCCATACTTGGCCGAGAGACGGAAAAAGTTCGCGATTTGTTCAATTTCGGACGGGAACTAGGAAGAGGTCAGTTCGGCGTGACTTACATATGCACGGAGAAACGCACCAGTCTACAGTACGCGTGTAAACTTATATCGAAGAAACAGCTTTTAACGAGCGACGACGTTGAAGACATCAAGAGAGAAATCGCCATTCTACACCTCTTATCGGATCACCCGAATGTGATTAATCTGAAAGGTGCTTATGAAGACAATTCTGCGGTGTATTTAGTCATGGAGCTCTGTACAGGCGGCGAGTTATTCGATCATATAATAGCGAGAGGGCACTACAGCGAGCGCGCAGCAGCGGAAGTGGTCCGTGTGATTGTATCGGTGGTGAGGTATTGCCATGCCAACTACGTGATTCACAGGGACTTAAAGCCCGAAAACTTTCTTGTATCGAGCGAGGAGGAGGGCGCGCCTCTTAAAGCCGTCGACTTCGGTCTGTCCGCCTTCTATAGGCCAGGTAAGCAAGCCGTGCCGCTCATCACAGCAGCCCAATCCCCCCCCACAACCCACTCGCTTCTGAAGGCTCCCCCCACACAACCTCCCTCCCACTCCCTCCCCGACCTCCCTCCCACTCCCTCCCCGACCTCCCTCCCACTCCCTCCCCGACCTCCCTCCCACTCCCTCCCCGACCTCCCTCCCACTCCCCCCCCGACCTCCCTCCCACTCCCTCCCCGACCTCCCTCCCACTCCCCCCCCGACCTCCCTCCCACTCCCTCCCCGACCTCCCCCCCCCCCCCCCCCCCCCCCCCCCCCCCCCCCCCCGACCTCCCTCCCACTCCCTCCCCGACCTCCCTCCCACTCCCCCCCGACCTCCCTCCCACCCCTCCCTCCCCTCCCTCCCACTCCCTCCCCGACCTCCCTCCCACTCCCCCCCCCCCTCCCTCCCCTCCCCCCCCCCTCCCTCCCACCCCCCCCCGACCTCCCTCCCACTCCCCCCCGACCTCCCTCCCACTCCCCCCCCCCCTCCCCCACTCCCTCCCCGACCTCCCTCCCACTCCCCCCTCCCTCCCCCCCTCCCCCCCCGACCTCCCTCCCACTCCCCCCCCGACCTCCCTCCCACTCCCCCCCCGACCTCCCTCCCACTCCCCCCCCGACCTCCCTCCCACTCCCCCCCCGACCTCCCTCCCACTCCCTCCCCGACCTCCCTCCCACTCCCTCCCCGACCTCCCTCCCACTCCCTCCCCGACCTCCCTCCCACTCCCTCCCCGACCTCCCTCCCACTCCCCCCCGACCTCCCTCCCACCCCCCCCCGACCTCCCTCCCACTCCCCCCCCGACCTCCCTCCCACTCCCCCCCCCTCCCCCGACCTGCCTCCCTCCTTTCCCCAATCTCCCCACGCACACAAGGGTTTCTGTTCTTCCTTTCCATCTTCTCGTGCCAACTGTTTTCTGCAAAAGGCCTCGTGCATACCTATGCCCGCTTTCCCTTTCCCGCTTCCTGCCGTTCCTTCCCACCCTTCACACTTTCTCCCCCGCTACCTTCCAATCTCCTCCTCTCTCCCCCCCATCCTTCCCCTCCTCCCACGCCCAATCCTCCCCTCCCCCACACACAACCCCACCCCACCCCCCCCATCCCACCCGCACCACTCCGCCATCTATCCCCGTTACAAGGCCACCCGCTGCACACAGTAGCGGGCAGCGCGTTCTACATGGCGCCAGAGGTCATCCGCGGGAGCTACGGGCCAGAAGCAGACCTGTGGAGCGCGGGGGTCGTGCTCTACATCCTGCTCTCGGGATCTCCGCCCTTTTGGGCAGGTAAATTCCTGTGCTCGTTATAAGGCTTTACAATTCGTCTTGTAACGAAACCACCCAAAGGCGGACCTGTGGAGCGTGGGGGTCGTGCTCTACATCCTGCTCTCGGGATCTCCGCCCTTCTGGGCAGGTAGACTCTTGTACCCGTTATTAGTTGTTCCAGATCGTCTTAGAATGACTCCATCAGAGGCGGATATGTGGAGCGTGGGGGTCGTGACTCGTGCTCTACATCCTGCTCTCAGAAAGTCACAGTCCGCCCTTCTGGGCAGGTAGTCTGTCCTCCCATTTTCCCTTCCCTCCCAACCCAATCCCCTTCCATCCGTTTCCCCCTGCACTTGTTTTTCTGACGCTTCTCGAATGCTCTTCAGATTTTTTCTCATTAACGCTCCCTGCATTCATCCTTTCCCCTCTTTCCCCCGATTCCTTCTCCCACAACCGCACTCCCCTCCCCTCCTTCCCCCTCCTTCCCCCTCCTTCCCGCCTCCCCTCTCTCCGCTTCCCTCTCCCCCCCCATCCCGTCCCCCCCTTCCCTCCCCGCAGAGACAAACGAGGGATATTTGAGGAGATTCTGTGGGGCCACGTGGACCAATCAGAGGAGCCGTGGCCGCAGGTTTCAAGCGAGGCGAAGGAGCTGGTGCTGAGTCTGCTGCAGCAGCAGCCCGAGAGACGGCCCACAGCAGCGCAACTCATGGGTACGTGCGTGGCGTGCGTGGATGTGTATGGGGGTGTGGTGCGTGGTGATGTGCGGTGTCGGCATCGGCCAAAGAAAGGGACGGGTACATGAGTGGGTGTGTGGGGATGGGTTCGAGAAAGAAACGTCAGTGACACCGTTTCCCGTTTGATGTGACGTTTTGATATGGCATTGACGTCATGCACCTGATGCTGACGTCATGCAGCAGCTGGAGAGCTTACTGCCAGAGGGACATAGCAAACGGCCAAGCCACAAGCCAAGTGAAGTTTCTCAGAAACTGCGAGTCCTCGCATAAAATTTTCACACCCCCTCCTGCCCTCAATTTTTTCATTCCCCTTCCTGTAAAATGATCGAATCCCTCTCTCCCTCACCTCGCTTCCACCAGAGCATCCGTGGGTGAGGGAGGGAGGTGTTGCAACAGACACGCCTTTGGCGCCGGCAGTCATCACTCGATTGAAGCGCTTTGCAGCCATGAATCGACTCAAGCGCCTCACACTCAAACTCATGGCCTCGCACGTGACTGATGCCGAGGCCATGGGGTTGAGGGAGATGTTTAAAGCCATGGATGGGGATGGCAGTGGGACGATTTCCTCGGCTGAGCTCAGGGATGGGGTTGAGAGGCTCGGGGATTCTGTGCCCAAGGAGCAGCTTCGGCAAATGATGGCAGCGGTAGGCTTAGCTGTCGTTTCTCCCCATTGTTTCAATTTATTTCATTTCAAATTCTCTACCGCGGGAGTTATTGTGCATGCAATGCAATGCAACCCTGTCATGCTGCACCTGCGTGTGCTTGTAACGGATCAGTTGTAACCACCTCCTCGTGTGCTTGTAACAGGCTGACGTGGACAGCAGTGGCAGCATTGACTATAACGAGTTTCTGGCAGCAACCATGCGCGTCAGCAGGGAGACCAGAGAGGCTCACCTGCAGCAGGCGTTTGCACACTTCGACACTGATGGTAATGGGTAAGTTGCTAAATTACCCCCAAATTCAGGTTAACTAGTCATGCGAGTAGGCCAACAACATGGTTATCAAGTGGGGAAAAAAAAAAGGAATACATGAAGGTTTTAAAACTTTGCAATCTTTAGTTCGAAATCTTCGCGTATAGGTAACCGATCCGACGTCCCTTTTATTGGCAGGTTCATTACAGGGGATGAGCTGCGCAGTGCACTGGAGAGGGAAGCTGGGAGCGCTGGGGTTGGGGAGGCGGAGATGGAAAGAATCTTTGCTGACGTGGACTCTGATCAGGTGAGACAGGAGGCAGGGAGCGTATGGCGAGACAGGAGAAAGTGAATGACAAGGCGAGACAGGAGGCAGTCAGTGATAAAGAGAGACAGGAGCAGCCAAATCACACCAATTCCCTTCCCCGTTCTCTCTTTTTGTGCTGCATGAATCTGTGCTCTCATGCACTCTCATCCCCTCTGTTTCCTCGCACAGACACGCTCACACACTCTTGCACTCTCTCCCTCCTCCCACCCGTCCAGAACGGCAAGATTCACGTGTCAGAGTTCCGTGCCACGATGATGATAGAAACGACGACCAAGATGGCTTTCGAGGCGCCTCACAAGTCAACTTCCACACTCTCTCCCTACTCCCCTCCCCACCCACCCGTCCAGAATGGCAAAATTGATTTCTCAGAGTTTTGTGCCATGATGGAAGAAACGACAACCAAAATCGAGCAAGCCGCTAAACTTAGAAGAGGAGCTCTAACCACCAACACATCTGGTCAGCATCCCCAAAAATCTGATATCAAATCTAATGATTCTGGTCGGCGAACCCAAAACTCTGGTCGGCGGTCAGCTAAGGGCAAGAAGCGAGCTCGTGGCAGCAAGTCCTGACAGGGGCATGTGCACCAAGCAAGCGCTGTAAAAAGATGTTGACAATGCAATGTTGCTCTTTCAAGGCTTCAGTCTGAATGCCCATGTGTTTGTTCCTAGGTGCTAGTGTGTAGCACTGTAAATGCAGGAGCAAAATCAAGGCAATGTGTGTGAATGAAGCTTCCTATCCTCCCCTATCCATGTGCCGCGGCTCTGCTCTAGTCCATTCGGATCTCAGTGGCTCATGCACAATGTGTTTGCTTTACAACCAAGTGTAAGTGACTTTTGAGACTCCTTGCTCATATTGCACGATTGACTAACATCAGTACAAAGAAACAGCACCATAAGCAACAGGTAGCAACAACCTTCTCTACAGTACCGTACCTCAATACAAAACAAAACCTCCCCTTCATCCCTTTAACCACCCCTCCCGCTGCACAATGCCCACACATGTGCCATGCATGGCTGATTGGTAAGGGAAGGGAGGAGCGGTGCCATGCACAATCACCACACATGCCCATGGCACACCGCATACAGGTAATTTGGAAATGCACCAGATGATGCAATAGTGCAGACCGACGGCATGTGATGCCACAGTGCACACGACATGTGATGCCACAGTGCACACGACATGTGATGCCACAGTGCACACAACATGGGATGCTACAGTGCAAGCTACACGTGATGCTTTAGTGTAGGCTACAGTGCATGCTCTACAGTGGATGCTCTACAAGATGCCAAACCTGCTACAGTGCATGCATGGATGATTGGCTGTTGAGAAACGCCACAGTGGCAGCCAGCACGGGTCCCCCAACAGCTGACCTGGCAAGCTCTGCCACGTCAGCATCCTCCAGCGCAACAGAGTCCTGCGTGGCAACGCAGACTGACATGTCAGTCAGCTCCTGCTGCTGACGTGGCAGCGGATACGCCACCCGGACTCTGTCGGTGCGCCAGAATGACACGTGGAAATTGGGCGAGTCGGGGTGGCAAGAAAGGTCCCGCCTGGACAGTTCTGCAGGAGGAACAGTGGTTTCTAGCACAAGGGCTTGCTCTGCTGTGCGAGCAGGAGCAGGGGCAGCGGGAGGAGCAACCGCAGTGGGAGCAGCAGCATGAGGAGCAGAAGCAGGAGGAGGAGGAGCAGGAGGAGGGGTGGCAGCAGGGGCAGGTAATGGTGATGAGTGTGGAGGGGGGAGCGACGCATCAGTGGGTGAGGGTGCAGCGGAGGGAGCAAGAGAGGAAGTGTTTGCAGCAGCGGTAGCAGCAGAGGGGGCCGCGAGTGAAGCGGTGTAGGCAGCAGCGCCAGCTCCCAGCAGCTCTGGCCGAAACTCCTCATCCCCAAACGCCTCTGATGCCCCCATGCCCATGCCCACGCTCACACCTCCCCCCACCCCTACCCCCATGCCCATCCTACTGCTTCCCGCACCATCTATGCCCATGCCACCACCACCCACGCCACCACCCACGCCACCACCCATCTCAGAAACCATGTCCGTTGGCAAACCCTCTTCCGCTCGCCTGCTGCCGTCCAGCACCCGGCCATTCCCACTGCTCTCTTCCCCCAGAACCATTCTTTCCACAGCTAGACTCTCCGGACCTAGGCCTTCCGAGCCTAGGCTTTCCAAGCCTAGGCTCCCGCCGAACGTCCGTTGGTTGGCCCGCCGAAGCTGCGCCATGTGGTGCGGGCGCATGTGGATGGTGACGTTGTCAGTGACGTCAACCAGCAGCAGCTGCTGCAGCAGGGGTAACTTCAGCAATAGACAGGGAATTACGTCGCGGAACTCGTCAAAGCCCCTTATAATGGCGAAAATTATAACGGGCATCATGCGCTTTAGAGAATCGTCGCTCGGCCCCATGACCTGCTTTAGGGTTAGGTCGACTGATACTGATGCTGATGCTGATGCTGATGCTGATGCTGCATCACGTGTCATGTGAGCCTGGGGAAAAGCAAATCCATACTGGGCCTCTTCGCGCTGCTGCTGATGCTGTTGCCTCCGCTCCCCCTCGTCTCCCTCCCCCTCCCCCTCCCCTTCCCCTTCCCCTTCCCCTTCCCCTTCCCCCCTCTTCCTCTCGCTCGCTCTCCAAACGGGCGGTTCCGTGCGCTCCGCGCACTTCCCTCCCGCAACCTTCCACCGCACCAAATCCATCCGCAAACGACGCTTCCCGTTCTGTAGCACTCCCCGAGCGGTGCTGTCCGCTTTCCCCCCGCCGCGGCCCTCCTTGCATACCTCCGCGCTGCGCGCCATCCGCCGTCTCTCCGCCACCTCCACCGATGCTACTGTAGAAAACATCCGCGCTCCCGGATTTCGCGGCAAGAAACAGGAACTTATCCACCGAGGCGCCAATCTCGGCGTAGCGCATGCACTTAGTCCAGGCTTCGCTATTGTCACGTCTCCCCGCCGAACCGCTCCCGCCCATCCCATTCGTCCCGATGCAAACGCGGACCTTCTTCAAACGGGGAAATCCCTGTAGCTTATCGACAATATCCATGACCTTATCCCAATACGTCTTGAAATTTCCGGGGCAAATCAGCGTTGCGGTTTCGACTTCGCGCGCTTTTCGGTGCCATAACTTGCAGACCGAAGCGCAGTGAGCGAGACAGCGGATGTCTTGTATGCTGCTGAGAATCTCCAAAAGAATATCGTCTGGGATACGTCGGAAAGGACATACAGCCTCCTCACCTTCCATCCTCATCGGCTCTTCTAATGTGAGCTCAAGGGCGACTTGAGAATGAAAGAAATTTGTTGAGTGGGTAATTAGAGGAATGATTGTGGCGTTTTCAAAGGCATCGGTGGGTGATAACATCGGGGTTCTGTGTGTTTTGTAGTGGAGTTTTTGCGGAAGGAAATACGTGTAGAGAAGACAATGTCGTATCAAAATACCGGATGAGAGTGTAAAGAGTCGGGAGAGAAGCACTGCAGGTGCCATCCCCGTGAGCCACGCTCTGTACGAAGCCCACTGTAGCATGGGTGACTGACAGGACATGAACAGAAAATACAGTACAGAAATGCATGGCTGCTTGAAGCTGAAAGAGCTTCTGCGATGTTGTCATCTCGTCAAGGACGAGCGGCCCAGCCCCCCGCCAGGTGCGAATCAGGACAAGGGGGGGAGTGGGGTGGGTGGGAGACAAGGCGGCTGATGCTGGGCACACTTGTCCGCACGTGAAATAACCGCTCAAAATTGCAAACAGTCAACCTCGAGCTGTCGCTCGCCGAGTTCTTACAGCCAACCCCCCAGCTAAGGTTTGCTCGTCTAAAGTCGTCAAAAGTCGTTAAGCATCGTACGAAGGACGTTCTCCGCCCGGCTCTTCCCCCTTTTCCCCTTCCCCCTCACCGCGAAGATCTTGTTCGCAGCCTGTTAGAAAACGCTCTGAGAAATCGCAACCATCAGAACACGCCCTGCTTCCATCCCATAGTAGCATACTGACAGCAGAAACAATGTCACCGTACGCGTAACAACCACTGACAGCAGAAGATGAGAATGTATGGGGAAAGCGTTGCGCTTGTTCGTCGTAAGGTGGTCTCCAACGCCGAACAACTCAAGAAAGGTAGGAAAAAAAAATGATTCAGCTGTTGCACGTATCCCGCCATTTGTCAATGAAAGCTCCCTTCACGGCTCTCTACAAAGTGCTGCATCATGTAGTTTTTGTGTTTCAAATGCCCAAGTCTCAAAGGAATGCTACTGATACAAGAATTATCTGCAACCGTGCACAAGTGTAATAAAATTAGGGTAGGTCTGTAATGTCCCTTACCGTACTGAAATTCTCAGTCCAGGCACTGTGGGACTCCTTGTGGAATCAGGGAGGGGCCGAATTCCAACGAAGCGAAAACTTGAAGCAAGGACTGGATGGCAGCAATACTATACACATGAGGGAGTTGGTCAAAGACTGCGTTATACACCTGATTCCTATTTCAGTTCCCTTCCCTATCTTTTTCTCTGCTCCTCTCTCGAGCACGCACCAGCTAGGGGCGGAATGGGACTGAATGTAGAACAAATGTGACAAACTCAACAGCAGTAGCCAAAATTGTGGGTAGCCCAGCGTGTTTTGTCTGGGAAACTTGAAAATCTTGGTTTTGTCGTGGGCTAGTAACGCGCGGGCCGTTGGCAGTGAATGTCGACCACTGGGCGTATGGAGTGGCAGGAGCCATGTTCAGAATGGGCGGTTGAGTGAGCATTAGGGTGTACAGGATGGGCGTGGTGATGAGGCGGATAGTTGGTAACTGTCCTTGAACACACAGACTGAACCCCTCCTGCCTAAAAACCCAAATGTAGAAGCTGGCTTGTGCAGTTTTGTACAGAACCCTCTAGGCTGGGTAGTGGCTGTTGCATGTCATTCTGTGAGAACCCCTAACCCCAACCCACCGCAGCTTCCCACTACCTCTGACCCCCCTCCACTCTACACGTCGCCCCAAACTCTCACAAGAGACCATTTTGGGGAGTGAAAAAGATGCGCGCCCGAGTTTGCATCAGGTGTGACGGTAAGCATTCTGCTTATTTGTTATGACAAAAAAACGATGACTTCACTCCTCAAAATGCCCGTCGCAAAACAAGCGTGGGCAGAACAGTCCTAAGTTTCGGGGCTCGGGTATTACAATACAATCACACAGAAATCCGCTCGCGATGTAGCTCTCGCTTCGGGTGTGTCATGTTAGGACGTGTCTCAGTTCGCCTCTGGTCGGCTGTGATCTGGTCGGGGCTGATCTGATCGGGGTGCCTTTGTTTGGATAGCTCGCGCCGCCCGATCAGATAAGATTTTCCTCGAATTCTCCACGAGGGTACACAGCAGGCAAACATACATTTCCTGCCATCTTCGGCCCACTTTGGCGACTGCGAACCCCTCGTGATGGATTTAGCGAATTAGTGTGTAACCCTGTAATGTCGAAATGATGGCGCCTCCAGAATGTTCTTGCCACAGCGAGGTACTCGCGAGGGTTTCACGAATCCCTGCCGACCGATGTAACTTTTCGTCAGCGTCGCAAAGTACCCCAATCAAATGCAATCAAGTGATCGTCGGTGATTGTCTGTGATTGTGTTTGATTGGGCTTTTTTTTGCGGTTGATCGAGTTGGGGCGATCAGCTGATCGCGATCAAGTGATTGCCCCTGATTGCATGAAATCGCCTCTCTACCTTCCTGGAAGTTATTGATCGTGTCTGATCGAGGCAACCCGAGGCGAACCGAGACACGTCCTTAGGACGTGGCCCAGACCGGGTCTGATTGCCTCAATCAGAAGCGATCAATAAATTCCAGGAAGCCCCTTTGCCAATTTCAGGCAATCAGGGGCAATCAGCTGATCGCGATCAACTGATCGCCCCAATCGATCAGCCGCCTCAAACACCCCAATCAAACACAATCACACACAATCAGCCACGATCACTTGATTGCATGGGATTGGGGATCTCAGCGACGCCCGCGAACAGGTTACAGCTGTTCGTTAGGCTCGTCAAGATTTCTGGCATGCATCTTTCAAAGTGCAATCTGCGAGATTACATGGAAACAAAAAAAATCGCTACGTCGTCTCGCTCTCGCCAGAATTGGGACGAAAGGTGAAGGAAATGCAGACTTGCTTGCGGGGCAGGCGCTATAAATTTTCCAGGAATATCAGCACAGATCGGGCGGCGCGAGAAATGCGATCAGAAGCAACCCGAACAGATCCGCCCCGATCAGATCTTAGCCGATCAAAAGCGATCTGTGCCACGTCCTTAGCTGGAGTTAGCCACGTATTAGACAAACTCCGTTTTAGACCAATATTTCATTATTCGCGCAGGGTAAATGCTGACCGAGCGACAGTCAAATCTTGCAGTCGTCCCACCTTCTCCCCTCCATTCCCCCAACCAAACCCAACCCAACCTCCTGCTTTCCCCATTTCTTCACCAGCCATTGTGGGCGGCTGTTCCCAACCAACAAAGCACACCTTGCTAGCTCAGCCCCTGAAAGGCTTCACATGTGCAATCCGTTCCAAGCACATAATCAGTAACGCGGCAGCCATCAGGATCTGCTCCCAGGACACAAGCAGCCCCCAAAATTGAGAGGCGCAGGCTAGCTCCCTGACGGGGTTTCAGCAGCAAGCAGCAACAGCAAAACTTCAGCGGCAGCCGCAGCAGCTGCAGCACCTAACAATGAAGGGCAAACAAGGAACATTTGTCAATACCCCTAACACAACCAATAGTAGTCACAGCTCTTCACATCTGGCAGAGAACACGGACTGCTTGGTCGTAGGGCATGACACTTGTAGCCATACTAGTCTCGCCGCCCGAGTTGGGGGGGGTTCTCAACTTCCTAAGAACCTATCTTTGCAACATTTCCTTCCAGCACACTTCCCTCCGCCAAGCCGCAGCGCTCACGCATTTGACGATCGGATCGAATCATGTGATGCCGTTGTCGCAACGTCGTTGAATGATGAGAAAATACCTTCGCAAATATCGTGGAGCCGCTGTACACGTGTTGCGGCGGAAAACGCGCCTTCCAAGCCGGCGTCACGTGAATCGCCGCAGCGTTTTCTCCTCAAATCATAATGATCGTGAAAATGGAGCGGCATTTGTCAGTTCTCGTCGATCCGGCGGGATCTTTGATGACAGAAACGCCCCTTGTAACGAGAGGTGATGAAGGATGTGCTTCATCGTTTCCCACTTGTAACGCCCCTCAAGAAAAGTCTTCTTACATGACTCACACAAATCGGAGTTTGCAATGACGTACACATGATAAGAAAAGAAAGTCTAGAAGATTTATTCAGTCCCCCGTTCCAAAAAACTTGCTCACTTGCCGTAGTAATCATCTTGTTCTCTGACAATCTACTGCCTACTTCATTCCTGTCGCACACACTCTTCCCTGACATCTTCCTCCCCCCTCTCCCCCCCACACACACAAACACTCTTCCTCTACCTCCCTCCCTTGTTCCCTCCGTCCCCTCCTTCCTCCTTCCGTCCTCCCTCCCTCCCTCCCTTCCTCCATCCCTCCCCCCCCTCCCTCCCTCCTCCCTCCCTCCCTCCCTCCCTCCCTCCCTCCCTCCCTTCCCTCCCTCCCTCCCTCCCTCCCTCCCTCCCTCCCTCCCTCCCTCCCTCCCTCCCTCCCTCCCTCCTTCCCTCCCTCCCTCCCTCCCTCCCTCCCTCCCTCCCTCCCTCCCTCCCTCCCTCCCTTCCCTCCCTCCCTCCCTCCCTCCCTCCCTCCCTCCATCCATCCCAGCCTCCCTCCTCCCCCCTCCCTTTGCTCCATCTCTCCCTCCATCCCTCCCTCTCTCCCTCCATCAGTCCCTCCCTCCCTCCCCCCTCCCTCCCTCCCTCCCTCCCTCCCTCCCTCCCTCCCTCCCTCCCTCCCTCCCTCCCTCCCTCTCCCTCCCTCCCTCCCCCCTCCCTCCCCCCCTCCCTCCCTCCCTCCGTCCCTGCCTCCCTCCCTCCGTCCATCCCTCCGTCCCTCCGTCCCTCCGTCCCTCCGTCCCTCCCTCCATCCCTCCCTCCCTCCCTCCCTCCCTCCCTCCCTCCCTCCCTCCCTCCCTCCTCCCTCCCTCCCTCCCTCCCTCCCTCCCTCCCTCCCTCCCTCCCTCCCTCCCTCCCTCCCTCCATCCCCCATCCCTCCCTCTCCCCTCCATCAATTCCTCCTCCCTCCCCCCTCCCTCCCTCCCTCCGTCCCTCCGTCCCTCCCTCCCTCCCTCCCTCCCTCCCTCCCTCCCTCCCTCCCTCCCTCCCTCCCTCCCTCCCTCCCTCCCTCCTCCCTCCCTCCCTCCTCCCTCCCCCTCCCCCCCTCCCTCCCTCCCTCCCTCCCTCCCTCCCTCCCTCCCTCCCTCCCTCCCTCCCTCCCTCCCTCCCTCCCTCCCTCCCTCCCTCCCTCCCTCCCTCCCTCCCTCCCTCCCTCCCTCCCTCCCTCCCTCCCTCCCTCCCTCCCTCCCTCCCTCCCTCCCTCCCTCCCTCCCTCCCTCCCTCCCTCCCTCCCTCCCTCCCTCCCTCCCTCCCTCCCTCCCTCCCTCCCTCCCTCCTCCCTCCCTCCCTCCCTCCCTCCCTCCCTTCCCCCCCCCTCGGTATCTCCATCTCCCTCTCCCTTCAACCCCCTCCCCTCTCTCTCATACGGCCCTTTGTCCTTTGCCTCTCTCTCTCTCTCTCTCTCTCTCCTCTCTCTCTCTCTCTCTCTCTCTCTCTCTCTCTCTCTCTCTCTCTCTCTCTCTCTCTCTCTCTCTCTCTCTCTCTCCTCTCTCCCATTTCTCTCACTACTTCTCCCTCCCTCGCCCTATTTCTCCCTCCCTCGTCCCCATACCGCAGGTTCCCAGACACATACCATGAAGCCATTCACCGTAGCGGTCGAGAAGGGTCAATCCCCAACAGGGATACACATACCCACTTCCATAGCGCTTTCCCACACCACCATGCATGCCCTGAAGGACTACAGAGGGGGGAAGCAGAGGAGCCAATGGATGGAACCAAGGATGGCGGCCAGCAGGAGTGGTGTCGTCAGCAGCACGAGGATACGCAAGTTCCTGTGTATACAGGCAAGCAAGGGAGGGAGCAAGCAAGCAAGCAGGAGGCACAAACCAAGGCATTGCTGCTTGTGGAGCAACATGGGCCGGAACGTTTGAAGAGCCATCAGTCGGGTGGTGATGGAATGAGGCTGGAAGCCAGAGGAGCTGAGATCGGTTCAGGAGAGGAAAGGGATAAGCCTAAGATTAACAATGAGACACTCAGGCGAAGCAGGGGAGAAGGGAAGGTAGTAAGGGCCAAGGGGGAAAGAGCACCTAGATGGGACGCTTGGAGGGAGGGAGGAACACGGACAGTGGAAGGGGCCGGGTTGGAGGGAGAGGCAACGGTGACACCACGGAGCGTAAGATCCGGCTCCCAAGTTAAGGTGTCTAAAGGGGGGAGAGATGAGGTAGCAGATAGCAGGGGATGGGGGCGTGAGAAAAGAATGGAGCAGGAGGGAGTATGGCAGAGTCTGAGTGTGGAAGAAGTGATGGGAGGTGGGAGGGACTTGCTGGGCGGCACTTGTGGTGGCAGCATTGGTGGCAGCTGCTATGATGCAAGGATGCTGGAGGGTTCTAGGGTAGATATTCAGAAGCCTTTGTCTTCACCCTCCAAGGAGAGAGCAGTGGTGGAAGTATCTGGGATAGATTTGGAGCGAAGAGGTCTGGAGAGAGAAAGGAAGAGCTTTTGTAATGAAGAAGCGGAGGAGAGAGAAGTGGCTGGGTTTGTTAAGAAGAGGAGGATAGTGACATGGTCAGGTGGGGGGTTGAAGGAAGAAGAGGGACGATTTGAGGTACAGGAGGGGCATGTGCAGGTGGTAAAGTCTGCTTTTGAGTTGACTCAAAGGCAGGGGCAGCATGGGCATGCGCAGTTGGTAAAAGAGGAGCCACAAACGTTACAGCAGCAGGGACCTGTCGGTTCCGAGGCCACTCGACTCGGAGTGTCGGATCCGAATCACAAGGAGATTGAGGAGCGGGTTCGGAAAGAGGCATCAAAAGAGAGCCACCGGAGGGACAAGGAGCAAGCATGGGAGGGAGCAAAGGAGGGGGCAAGTGAGGCGGCAAAAGAGGAAGCAAGGGGGGGTGCTAGGGAGGGAGCGATGGAAGGAGCAAGGGGAGGAGGTCAGAAGGGAGCGATGGGGGTTAGCCCAGGAGGAGCAGAGAAGGCGCGTGAAGAGCAGGAGGAGCAGGGAAGTGGAGAGGAGAAAGAGGGGAGTGAAGAGGACCAGTACCACTGGCTGAAATACGGGCAGAAGGTGCTCATGGAGAGGGTTTACACACGGTGAGTGTGAGCGAGTGAGTGTTAGTGAGTGTGACAGTTGAGTTCCTAAGGACTGTTACATTACATCCATTGTTACTGTAATGTCGTTTGAGGCTGTTACGTCCTGTCTGACACATCCTTCAATAAGTTATTGAATGTTACATTCTCTGGGAAGGTTACATCCTGCATGCATGCTGCATCGTTGTGAATGTTGCATTGCATCCCTCGTAAATGCTGCATCCGTCGTGTATAGGAGATGCTAATTCGTGTATCCGCCGTGAATGTTGCATGATTCGTGAATGTTCCATCCTTCACATCACACCTCTGTTACATTCATTGCATCCTTCATGGACATTTCATCTACAGATGCTACACCCGCATTAAAGAACAGATCAAACTGCTAGGCAAAGAGGGCCTTGGTTATCTATCCCCTTCCCAGTCCTCCCTCCCACCCCCCTATCCCCACCCCCCCCTCTTGCCCTTCCCACAACCCACTCTCCTTCTCTTCAGATCCTACCTTTCCAGTGCCCAGCATACATTCAGCATACTAGCCTTCTAGCCTTCTCGTAAAAAAAAAAAACATAACATCCATTCCCTTCCTTCTCTCTAATCTTCTTCTCTTCAGATCCTACCTTTCCAGCGCCCAGCATGCACTAGCCTTCTAGCCTCCTCGTAAAAAGTAACATCCATTTCCTTCCTTCTCTCTACTCTCCTCCTCCTCGGTTCCCCTTCCCGCGACCCACCAACCCACCTCCAGAGCCAATATTCGGTGTGCCCAGCACACAGCAGGGTGCAAGGCAAGGAGACCGTTGACATTCCCATCCAGCAACTCACCTCTACTCCCCACCGTCAGCCGTCCCTCCCTCAACCCCTCTCTCCCTCTCCTATCGTTGCGTTTCTCCCATTCCCGCAACCCACCCACCCTCCTCCAGAGCCTATTTTCGGTGTGCCCAGCACACAGCAGGGTGCAAGGCCAAGAAGACCGTTGACATTCCCATCCAGCAACCCACCTCTACTCCCCACCGTCAGCCGTCCCTCTCTCAGCCATCCGTCTCTCATCCATCCTTTCATCACCAGTCCCAGTCACAGCCACAGCTACAGCTGCAGTCACAGCCGCAGCCACAGCCACAGCCACAGGCGCAGCCAAATCCACAGCCACAGCTGCAGCAACAGCCCCAACCCAACTCTCAGCTACAGCCGCGTGTGGTGTTTCTAGGCCAACACTCACACCCTCCTCCCTACCGGCCCCGCAACGGCACCCTCTCCCTGGCTGCCCAGTTCGCAGCCGAACTTAAAGAAGAGATTCGGGCTGAAGCTGCTGCTGCCGCCGCTGCTGCCACAGCAGCTGCTGCTGCTGCTGCTGCTGCTGCTGATCAGGAAAAGGCAGCGGCAGCGGTGGCGGCAGCAATAGCGGGAGCTGCTTCCCCACTAGCTGCTACTACTAAGGCACTTGCTAGTAGTGCTTCTGGTGCTGGCACTGCTGCAGCAGCTGCTGCTGCTGATGATGAGGAGAAGGCAGCGGCAGCAGTGGCGGCAGCAATTGCGGGAGCTGCTGCCCCACTAGCTGCTACTACTAAGGCACTTGCTAGTAGTGCTTCTGGTGCTGGCACTGCTGCAGCAGCTGCTCGTTCCTTCAGCATTACCGGAAGTGCCTCTTGGGTCTGCACCACTGGTGCTGGTGGTGCGTTCGTCAGTCCTGCTTCTGGTCTGAACGTGCAGCAGTCAGCAGGCAGAAAGCAGCACGCAGCAGGACGGACCACCATCCAACAGCAGCAACAGCAGGCTGTTTTCCCTGCTATTAGAAACCACCAACAGCAGGCTAGTACAAGGGCCATGCAACCAGGTTGTGCCGGTGTTGCTTGGAGTGGCAGTAGCTGCACCAGCACCGCCACCAGCAGCAGCAGAAGCAGCAGCAGGAGGCTTGTGTGCGCCTTCTGCTACTGGTAACAGCCTGCCAATGTCTCGAGATAACAATATCTCGGGGGCTGTTGGTGCTTCGGTAGCCAGCATAGTCGCGAGCAGCATCAGCAGCATCATGGACAAGAGCAGTGCTGCAGTGGGACGACCAGCAGGAGCAGCTGGAGCAGTGGGAGCAGCAGGAGTAGTGGCAGCAGCGAGAGAAGCGGGAGAAGTAAGATCAACAGCAGCAGGAGCAGCAGGAGCAGCGGGTGCCGACGGGGTCACTCAGGAGAATGCTCATTCCTTTCCAGCAGCAGGTAACGCTGGTAGCCCGGTTGTTCCTCCTCTTTCTTTCCTAGCAGGAAGATTGGGGATGTTTTGGCCCTTGTTGCCAACCATAAAAGGGCTGAATGTGGGTGCGCTGGTAGCAGCTGCATCAGCAGCACCACACAGTTTGTCTGCTAGAGATCTACCAGATGCGCCACAGCAATGGCTGCTGTGGCTGCAGGAGCAGCGGCAGCAGCAGCAGCAGCAGCAGCAACAACAACAGCAACAGCAACAACAACAACAGCAACAGCAACAGCAACAACCACACAGCCACAGACTTCACAAGCCTAAGGGTACTGCTAATATCAGCACAAGTTCACGTGCAGCTTCTATCCTTGCAGCTGCTATTGCTGCAGCAGCCTGTGCCACTTCTGCAGCTCCTGCTGTTCCTGCCCCTCCTCCTGCTGCTGCTGCAACTTCTCCTGCTGCTCTTCCTGCCGCTCTTCCTGCCGCTCTTCCTGCCGCTCTTCCTGCTGCTCTTCCTGCTGCTCTTCCTGCTGCTCTTCCTGCTGCTCCTCCTGCTGCTCCTCCTGCTGCTCCTCCTGCTGCTCCTCCTGCTGCTCCTCCTGCTGCTCCTCCTGCTGCTCCTCCTGCTGCTCCTCCTGCTGCTCCTCCTGCTGCTCCTCCTGCTGCTCCTCCTGCTGCTCCTCCTGCTGCTCCTCCTGCTGCTCCTCCTGCTGCTCCTCCTGCTGCTCCTCCTGCTGCTCCTCCTGCTGCTCCTCCTGCTGCTCCTCCTGCTACTCTTCCTGCTGCTCTTCCTGCTGCTCCTCCTGCTGCTCCTCCTGCTGCTCCTCCTGCTGCTCCTCCTGCTGCTCCTCCTGCTGCTCCTCCTGCTGCTCCTCCTGCTGTTGCTCCACCTTCAGCCAGACTTGCCACTGCTAATACGTCCTCTCAAAAGGGAACATTTCCTATTAGCACTCCTAGAGCCCCACACAAGGGCTGTGCAGATCATGTTCCCACTGGGCAGAGCAGCAGAAGGAGCACAAAGAGGGAATTGGGATGGGAGAAAGGAGATGCGAATCTCAGCAGCAGAAGGGAGGAGAAGGGGAACGCGCCAGGTGGAAATGAAGCAGAACGACCTGTTTCAGTAGGTATGTCCCCTCTGGGAACTTCTGCTGCCGCTGCTGGTGCTGCTGCTGGTGCTGCTGCTGCTGCTGCCGCTGCTGCCGCTGCTGCTGCTGCTGGTGCTGCTGCGGCTGCTGCCGAGTTTCTTTCGCTTGCTGCTTCTCTAGTGACAGGAGATTCAGCAGCATCCGCAGCTTCTTCTCCTGCTAATCCTCCTTCCGATTCTCCTGCTAATCCTCCTGCTCCTGCCACTCCATCCAAGCAGACAATTTCCGCTCCATTTCTTTCACCTTTTACTCGACCAGACCCTGCCAGCACTGCATCTCTCCTCCCGACATCTCCTCCTGTGGCAATAGTACCATCTGACCCAGCAGCACCGTCACCTGTAGCACCGTCACCTGCAGCACCGTCACCAGCAGCACCGTCACCAGCAGCACCATCACCAGCAGCACCGTCACCAGCAGCACCGTCACCTGCAGCACCGTCACCAGCAGCACCGTCACCAGCAGCACCGTCACCAGCAGCACCGTCACCTGCAGCACCATCACCTGCAGCACTGTCACCAGCAGCACTGTCACCAGCAGCACCGTCACCAGCAGCACTGTCACCAGCAGCACTGCCACCTGCAGCACTGCTAGCTGACCCACATGCTTCCTCCAGAGCACCCTCATCACGTTTCTTCCTGCCTCCTCTGCCTTTCACAGTGCATACCGCAGCCTTTCTTCAACATACAGTACCAGTTTCAGTTTCAGGTACAAACTCAGTGTCATGTACAGGTTCAGTTACAGGCACTGATGCAATTGCATTCCGCACTACAATGAGGTTTGCTGCTCCCACCACTACTGCCACCGCTGCTGCTGCCACCATTGCTGCCACCGCTGCTGCCACCGCTGCTGCCACCGCTGCTGCTGCCACCACTGCTGCCACCGCTGCTGCCACTGCTGCTGCCACCGGTGCTGTCACTGCTGCTGCTGCTGCTGCTGCTTCAGTGCCACATCAGCAGCCAGCATCTACTCAATCTCTGCAGCCTGATCCACGGTTGCCATCTCAGCAACCTAAGACTATCCAGTCGCGCATAACACTCCCTGGCCATTCAGAAACCATGCCTTATAGCAGATCGCATTCGCTTCATCCTGTCCCTTCCATGGTCCCTAAGCGACAGCCTGGGCAACCATCCCCTCGGACAGGAGGCCAACAGAGTCTTGTACCCCATATGGACAGTCTCGGTACTTCTGAAGGTTCTAAGAGGGGTGTGTATCCGAGAGGGAGAACACTGCTGCGTGAGGGTCAGGATTATGAAACTTATCGACAACGTAAGACTGGTCTTGATTTGAATAAGTGACAAATGTGAAGAATCTATCCTTAATGATTCAAGGGCCGCCAGTGTTTTCATCCTTTGTCCATAGGTTGTCAACACAGTTTGAATCTGTTGTCTTTCATGTGTCAAATAAATCGAAAATAAGTGATGTTAATATCCACCACATTGTAGCGTGTAGGTTCCACACTCATAATGTGCTCAATGATGAGATAATGAACCGTCTCGTTTGGCGGGATAATTGCCCAAATTTAAATGCCCTAAACACAAGAAAAGGGGTGTAACAAAGAGGGCAAGAGTGTAAGGAAGTTTGCCTAATTCCTTACTGCAGCACATTATGCGCATACAACTCCAATTTTCAGAGTTCCCAGGCTCGGCCCGCCGACCTCGCCTCAGAACATCCCTTCCCTTGCGTCGCCTTCGGGTTTTCCAACCCCAAACCTGCACCTAACTTGCGCGGTCTCGCGACCTCGGCCTAGCTAGCCTTGCTATATTTATAGTTGTTGTAAACCTATAAGGTCTGGACGAGTGCAGGTCATTAGGTACATGAGACACCCCACCAGCTCTGCTTACGGGCTGCTGGGCTCAACTGCCTCGTCAGGGACAGGAGCCAAGAGAGCGTGGCTAGCAATTAGCAGAGTGGGCTGAATTGAGGAAAATTCTAAGATTTGCTGCACATGTGTGACTGAGCCAGAGTGATGGTGGGCGCTACTCTGTCCCTAGTGATATGCTACCCAAGATAGCAACACAGCTCACCAAGGTCAGTGTAAATGTGTCTCCTCAGTATCTCGGCCTTCAGTGAGGCCAGTGCAACTCAGTCTGGAGTGGAGAAGACCAAGAATGTAGAAAGAAGTCGAACCAAGGCGAATGAAAAAAGAAGGGTCAGCAGAAGACGCGGAAAAGCCCTTGGTCGTACATATCAATGTCCCTTGCCCCCTAAATTTAATGATTTTGAGAAGAGACTTGAGGTTGTTGGTGGAGCATTAGCCAAAGAAAAAACTTTTGGAGAAGTTGAGTTTGAGGAAAGCCACAACTCTAGTTGTGCAGAGAATGCTGTAAACAGAGCAAAATACTTGGACAAAATCTCATTTCCATTTCGGTAAGTTGGAGTTGGGAGGTGAAGAATGAGCTCAAATCTCCTCATAAACTTCTTGAGAGCTCCTCCCAACTATAACTCCATGGTGGGGGAGGTCCCAGGCTTTGAGCCTGATTCAACTTACAATCATTGCATGGCTCTTTTGTTATTGCAGCCCACGAGAAGATGATGGCTACATTGGTAATTTTCAATTGGTTGTTTTACAATTTGCTGGGTTGAAAGCTCCCAAACATTAAGGTTGAAGGTTGGAATTTTACATCCAATATTTCATTCCCAACCTTTAGTAGCTCTAACCCCCGAGAAACTTCTCGTCATTCAGGACGATTAGGGCATTAGGTAACTTAGGTAATGTGTTACAATAAGAGCCCAATGGGGACTGTTTTTTGCAGCAGGTTCCCCCAACGCAGTTCCCCCTCCTTGGGCGAACATAGTCGATGGCATGTGGATTTTCAGGGTGAAGCGGCCGCTGGGTTCTCCGCCTGTCTTCAAGGCTCGTTACGTTGCTCGAGGCTTCAGTCAGCGACAGGGAGTTGACTTCTTCCAGACCTTCTCCCCTACCTCGAAGATGACCACTCTTCGGGTGCTGCTGCACGTTGCCGCTCAGCGTGACTACGAGCTTCACTATCTTGACTTCAGCACATCCTTCTTACAGGGCAGCCTGCACGAGGAGATCTGGCTGCGCCGCCCACCTGGCTTGACTGGGTCGTTTCCTGCAGGTAACCAGTGGAGCCTCCGGCGGCCAGTCTACGGTCTCCACCAGGCGCCTCGTGAGTGGCATGACACACTGAGGACTACGCTTGCGGCTCTTGGGTTTGCTCCGTCGATTGCTGGCCCGTCGCTGTTCTGCACACCGACACGTCGCTGCCGCCGTTCTATATCCTCGTGTACGTCGACGACTTGGTCTTTGCCACTGCTGACACTGTGGCACTCGCCCTTGTGAAGTCGGAGCTGCAGAAGAGACACACGTGCACAGACCTGGGTGAGCTGCACAGCTATCTTGGCTTGCAGATCACCCAGGACAGAGCACGCCGCACCATCACCCTGACTCAGTCACACATGGTGCACCAGGTCCTTCAGCGCTTCGGCTTCCAGTTCTCCTCACCACAGTCCACTCCTCTGCCTACCAGTCACTCGCTCTCAGCTCCACCTTCGGACGAGTCCGTAGAGCTGAGTGGCCCGTATCCAGAGCTTGTGAGCTGCCTCATGTACTTGATGACCTGCACGCGACCTGACCTTGCGTACCCTCTTAGCATCCTGGCTCGCTACGTTGCGTCTGGGAGACACCGGCGAGAGCACTGGGAGGCTGCTAAGAGGGTGCTACGCTACTTGTGCAGTACATCGGGCATGGGGCTCGTGCTTGGAGGACAGGGTCCAGTTGTCCTCACTGGACACTCAGACGCCTCTTGGGTTGACGACCTGGCTACGCAGCGGTCGTCACAGGGTTACACCTTCAGCCTTGGCTCTGGCTTTGTTTCTTGGCGGTCTACCCGCTCGTCTTCTGTTCTCAGCTCCAGTTGTGAGGCTGAGATCTACGCAGGAGCCATGGCTGCACAGGAGTTACGCTGGCTCACCTACCTGCTGACCGACTTGGGAGAGCGGCCTAGTTCTCCTCCAGTTCTGTACGTAGACAACAAGGCCGCTATTGCCTTGTGTCAGGAGCACAGACTGGAGCACAGAACGAAGCACATCGCTCTGCCTTACTTCCTTGCTCGAGAGTTGCAGCAGCGTGGTCAGCTTCGTCTTGCTCACGTGGCCACCCGGGCCAACACTGCTGATATATTCACCAAGGCACTTCCGCCTGGTGATCATCAGCGTCTCTGTACTGCTTTAGGCCTCGTGCCTACGTTTTTGCACTTGCTCACTGCGTGAATTTTCTTGTACTGTGATCTATATATATCTATACTTGCATGCTTTACACTTTCTAGGTTGTGATGACTGTACTGTTTGTTCTCTTTTATATAACTCTGCATGTGAACCGGCGTTGTGTCCATTTGCTTGTGCTCGGACTGTGTGGTGACTTCGTGATCCACCCTGAGCTTGCTTTGCTTTTCTTGACTGGTCTTGTGACCAATCGTTCTCCCCCACTTTGCCTATGGGGGTGTGTCAAACTATAATGATGCTTGTTGTGTGTAGGCTGTAGTGGGGTAGCCCATAAGGGGTACAACCCAAATTAGGGTTAGTACTTGTACCCACATTTCTGTTCAATGCATCATTCCTGCTGCTAGTTTCTAACATGGGGATGACGGTAGGCAATCGATAACTTTAAACAAAGCAATGCTTGTACCTCGATATGATGCTACAATACATGGATTCATAGCTCGGAAAAGGAATACTACGCACACATGTGCACTTGCGTATACACATACACATATATTCACATATACCTACTACACACACTCAGATACAGATTGCGCGCACGCACACACACATGCACACATATACACATACACACACATATACCCGCATGCGCACACATACATACAAGCATACACAGACACACGCATACATTCATACACACATACGCACATATATACATACATAAATAAATATGCATGCACAGACGCACACCTACACCTACACACGCACACACATACACACATGCATACACACACGCACATATACACATACAAACACAGCGGTTACGAGACTTGGTAAGATTATGTGCATTAGGTTTAGCCCCGTCACAGCCCTTCCTTTCCCCCTCTTGAGAAATGATCACTACAACTGTGGTCCAGTATTGGGTTGAACAAAGGCAAAAATACTGGGAGGGATGAGTGGGGCAAGGACCTTTTGAAGAAGGTGGCTTGGAAGGCGACTCAAGTGTGGTAAGGACATTAAGGTATGGAAATGTTAAACTGTATTATGCTTGTAGGCTGTAGTGGGGTAGCCAATATGGGGTACAACCCCAACTAGGGTTTCATATTTGTACCCAAACTTCTGTTAGTTCAATCATTCTTGCCTAGTGATTCTGATATGGTATTCAGAGCAGGAGGTCCCTAGGACCTACCGATCGTTTTTTTTTAGGGCCCACCACCGCTCGCATGCGGTTACCACGCTACCCCGTTCCCTAGCCTCGTAGCGCCCTCGTGCGCCCTCGTTAGCGCCCTCGCGCGCACCCTCGTTAGCGCCCTCGCGCGCACCCACGTCAGCGCCCTCGCGCGCCCCTTCGTTAGCGCCCTCGCGCGCCCCTTTGCTAGCGCCCTCGCGCGCCCCTTACTAGCGCCCTCGCGCGCCCCTCACTAGCGCCCTCGCGCGCCTCTCACTAGCGCCCTCGCGCGCCCCTCGCCGAGCCGCCCGCTCGCAGCCCGCCCGCCCGCTCGCTGCCCGCTTCGCGGCCCGCTCACTACGCAGCCCGCCCGCCCGCTCGCTGCCCGCTTCGCGGCCCGCCCGCTTCGCAGCCCGCTCGCTCGCTGCCCGCTTCGCGGCCCGCCCGCTTCGCAGCCCGCTCGCTCGCTGCCCGCTTCGCGGCCCGCCACTTCGCAGCCCGCCCGCCCGCTCGCTGCCCGCTTCGCGGCCCGCCCGCCTCGCAGCCCGCTCGCCCCGCTGCCCGCTTCGCGGCCCGCCCACTTCGCAGCCCGCCCGCCCGCTCGCTGCCCACTTCGCGGCCCGCTCGCATCGCAGCCCGCTCGCCCCGCTGCCCGCTTCGCAGCCCGCCCGCCCGCCCGCTGCTCGCTTTGCGGCCCGCCCGCCTCGCAGCGTCGCCCGCCCACCGTGCTGCCCGCTTGCAGCGCCGCCTGCCCGCCGCGCTGCCCGCTTTCCGGCCCGTCCGCCGCGCTGCCCGCTCGCAGCGTCGCCCTCCCGTCGCACTGACCGCTTGCAGCGCCGCCTGCCCGTAGCGCCAGCCTCGCCCGCTGCTCTCTATCCGTGCACAGTCGTCTTCCCCTGCTGCGGCAGTTTTCGTTACTCTGTCACACTGTCGCTATGGCTTCCATTCGCGTGCTGTCGTTCGATGCTGAGGGCCGCCCTGTGCGTTTCACCGCTTGGCTAGATGACCTGCAGCTGTTTCTCCTGAGCGATAGCAAGGAGCATGTGTCGCTCTATGACTACGCGTCTGGTGCTGCGCCTGCCCCTCCTGCCACAGCTGAGCTTAGTGTTCGTTCCCACTGGCAGACTCGTGACGCAGCTGCTCGCCTAGCCATTCGCAGTCACCTGCCGTTAGCTGAGCTAGAGCATTTTGGCGACTGCAAATCCGCTAAGGCCCTGTACGACGCTGTCGTCGCTCGCTACTCCTCGCCTGCCACAGCCGAGCTTAGCCGCCTCATGCTGCCGTACCTGTTCCCCGATCTGTCCACCTTTACTACAGTCGCCGATCTTATCACCCACCTTCGCACTAGTGATGCTCGCCTGCGTGCCGCCCTTCCCACCGAGTTCTGCGCTAAGAACCCCCCTCCACTGTACTGGACACTCCACTTCATAGTCACCCGTCTCCCTGACACCCTCCGCTCAGTTCGAGACCACTTCCTTGCTCGCTGTCCCACTGAGCTCACAGTCGCCCTCCTAGAGGAGCACCTGCTCGCGGCCGAAAAGAGCATTGTAGCTGTCGGTGCTGCTCGTGGCGCTCCTCGCACCCCCATCTTTGAGGGGTGTTCTCCCTCTCCCCTCGCTCCCTCCTACGCTGCTGCTGCTGCTGTTGACTTCCTTGGTGCTGAGTCTGTTGGCGCTGCTTCTACTCCTGGTGGGAGGCGCCGCACCGGCAAGGGCAAGGGGGGCAAGGGTGGTGGTGGTGGCGCTGGGGGGGGAGGAGGTGGGGGAGGTGGGGGGGGAGGCGGTGCTGGAGGGAGCGGTGGCGGGAGCGCTGGTGGGAGTGGGGTCGGTGGTGGAGACGGGGGCGGCGGAGGGACCAGTGGCAGTAGTGGCGGCGGCGGCGGTGGCGGCGGTGGCGGTGGTGGCGGTGGCGGTGGTGGCGGTGGCGGTCGGAGCGGTGGTAGTGGTGGCGGCGGAGGTCGGAGTGGAGGCACTGGCTCTGGCCAGAGCTCCCAGCAGCAGCAGCGTCCCCAGACGACCCAGCAGCTTCGTGAGTGGCTTGCTCAGCGTGGGACGTCGGGGGCCAGTGCCCGCTGTTCTTATGTCATTCGCACAGGTGACCGCAAGGGACAGACGTGTGGGAGGTTCCACACCCCGTACCGCTGCTTCTCCCGCCTTGACGACGCTTGGCGTGAGGAGATGGGTGCGGATGTTGAGCGCCCCCGCTGGGCTGAGCTCATGAGGGCTGGTGTTGATGTCTTTGCTCTTGACTATGATGCTATTATTGCTGCCATGTATGCATTGACTGTTAGTGCCGAGGGAGACTGTTACTTGTGTGTGCCGCCTGACCCAGGTATAGAGCCCGCTGCCCTGGGTACTAGTGAGTCTGCTCTCTCTGGTATGGTGCCCCCTGTACTTGCTCCCTCCAGTGCTGTCCCGACTGGTTTCGAGTCTGCTCTCTCAGGTACAGCACCCACAGAGACTGCTCTCTCAGGTACCGCACCGGCTGAGGCCTGTCACACCTTCACCCTTGACTCAGGTGCTTCCCGTTGCTTCTTTCGTGACAGTACTGAGCTCACACCGCTTCCTGCACCGGTCCCAGTCTCCTTGGCTGACCCCTCTGGGGGCCCAGTCCTTGCCCAGTCCACCACTGTCCTCCCTTGTCCGGCGGTTCCGTCTGGCTCGTTGTCGGGTTTCCACCTCCCCTCGTTCTCGACGAACCTGGTGAGCAACGCTGTCCTCCAGGATCAGTGGGTTGACACCTTTACCCCTGGCGGACAGCGTGTGGCGATCTGCACGTGCTCCAGGACTGGCCGTCACCTGGCTACGTTCACCCGTCGGCCGGGGTCGAGTCTCTACACACTGACCACTGCGTCTCCCCAGGTAGCTGCTGTCGGTCAGGTGTCTGCGTCAGGTCTGGTGGCCCACGCCTGTGAGTGTCGTTCCCTGTCGCACCAGACTCTTCTCTGGCACCACCGCCTGGGTCACCCCTCCTTGCCACGCCTTCGTGGCATGCACCGTCGCCTCCTTGTGTCCGGTCTTCCCAGGTCCCTCCCTCCCCTCCCTGCCTCGCCTGCGCCGCCCTGCCTTCCTTGCGTCGAGGGGCGGCAGCGCGCCGCTCCTCACTCCTCCTCGTTCCCCCCGACAGAGGCTCCTCTGGAGACCCTCCACCTGGACGTGTGGGGCCCAGCCCGCGTTCGTGGTCAGGGCGGTGAGCGGTATTTTTTGCTGGTTGTCGACGACTACTCGCGTTACACCACGGTCTTCCCCTTGCGCACCAAGGGTGAGGTCCCTGCTGTTCTGATCCCTTGGATCCGCACGGTTCGTCTCCAGCTCCGCCGCCGTTTCCGGACGGATCTTCCTGTCCTGCGTCTGCACTCTGACAGAGGTGGTGAGTTTTCCTCCGATCTCTTGAGGACCTTCTGTCAGGCGGAGGGCATCGAGCAGACCTTCACGCTTCCGGACTCCCCACAGCAGAATGGGGTTGCTGAGCGCCGCATTGGCCTGGTCATGGAGGTCGCTCGTACCTCCTTGGTCCACGCGGCGGCTCCCCATTTTCTGTGGCCGTTTGCTGTCCGGTACGCCGCGCATCAGCTCAACCTCTGGCCCCGTGTCTCCTTGCCGGAGACGTCGCCCACACTGCGTTGGACGGGGGAGGTTGGCGATGCGTCGCGCTTCCGGGTGTGGGGTGCTCGTGCCCTTGTCCGCGATACGTCCGCGGACAAGCTCTCCTCCCGCACGCTTCCCTGTGTCTTCCTTGGCTTTGTCCCTGACGCGCCTGGCTGGCAGTTTTACCACCCCACCTCGCGCCGGGTCTTCGCCTCTCAGGATGTCACCTTTGACGAGTCGGTCCCTTTTTACCGTCTCTTCCCCTACCGCACTGCCCCCCTCCCTCCCCCGCCGCTTTTCCTTGCTCCTGGTCCCCCTCCGGTAGACCCCCTTCCCCCTCAGGGTCCTGCTCCTTCAGGTGTCTCTCAGGTAGACCCTCCTCCCGTCGCTGAGCCTGTCGAGGTCACAGGTGACTCAGGTGCTGCTGCGGGTGGTGCTGCTGGGAGTGCTGAGCCTGGGGGTGCTGAGCCTAGGGGTGCTGAGCCTGGGGGTGCTGGGCCTGGGGGTGCTGGGACTGCAGGTGCTGGAGCTGAGGGTACTGTGCCTGAGAGTTTGCCGCCTGGGGGTGCTGAGCCTGGGGGTGCTGTGTCTGGGGGTGCTGAGCCTGCGGGTACTGAGCCTGCGGGTACTGAGCCTGGGGGTGCTGCTACTGAGCCTACGGAGCCTCGGGTTACTGCGTCTGGGGGTGCTCCGGTTCGGGGTGCTGAGCAGTCTCTCACACCGCAGCAGCTTCGCGACTGGTACGTCCGACGCTTTCGCCGTCCTAGTGGCTCGGCTGGAGTTTGGGGTGCTGGAGCTGCTCGTCCTGGGGGTGCTCGTACTGGGGGTACTGGAGCTGCCGGGACTGGCTGTTCTGGGAGCACTGTGACTGGAGCTGCTGGAGCTGGGGACTCTGGCGCTGGCGGTGCTAGCGGAGTTGGAGCTGCCGACTCTGGGGGTGGCGCTGCTGCTGGTGCTGAGGAGTCGGACGGTGGAGCTGCTGCTGGAGCTGGGGACCCGGCCGGTGGAGCTGCTGCTGGTGCTGTGGACCCGGACGCTGGAGCTCCTACTGGTGCTGAGGACCCGGCCGCTGGAGTCCCGTCTGCTTCTGGAGACGCTGCGCGGCCGCGACCGTACTTCGTACCGCTCCTTCAGCAGGTTCTTGGGCAGGCTCCTCCTCCTTGTCCTCCTCCCTCCGTAGAGTGTCCTCCGCCTGTCCAGCCGCAGTCACAGTTACCGCCTGCCTCGCCTCTCCCTGCTCCCTCTCCTTATACTGGTCCCACAGGAGGTCTTACAGAGCGTCGTGAGCCTGAGTCTCGTCCTGCGTCGCCTGTTCGTCCTGCTCGCACTGGTAGTCGTGTCCGTCGTGAGCGTCCTCCTCCTGTCCCAGGCACTCACTACATGACTCTGCGTCCCTCTACTGCTCCTCGGCGTGTCCCTCTACCGTCTCCTCCTGCGTCCTCTTTGCCTACCGTTCCGGACCCTGAGTCTGACCGGTATCGCGCTGAGCACCCTACAGTCACGCGTCTCCTTGCTACTGTTGTCACTGACCCCACCTTTGAGTCCTCGGCTGCGTCTGCTCTTGTCGCTGAGTTGGTTGACTTTGCTGCTGCCTGTCGTCTAGACTACGCTGCTAGCCTTGTTGCTGAGTCAGAGTCTGCGTCTGTCTGTCCTCCGTCCGTCGGGGGTGAGTGTGCTCTTAGCACGGACGTCCTTGAGGACAGGCAGGAGGACTTTGACTCTCTTGCGGCTGCTGTACCTCATCTCGTGGCCTGGTTGCTTGCCCCTGAGGGAGACCCGGATGCACTAGACATCCCCACTCCGCGCACTTACGCAGAGGCGATCTCGGGTCCCTACTCCTCTCAGTGGCAGACAGCCATGGACGCAGAGATGGCATCCTGGAAGTCCACAGGCACCTACGTCGACGAGGTTCCCCCTCCTGGGGCGAACATCGTCGATGGCATGTGGATTTTCAGGGTGAAGCGGCCGCCAGGTTCTCCGCCTGTCTTCAAGGCTCGTTACGTTGCTAGAGGCTTCAGTCAGCGTCAGGGGGTCGACTTCTTCCAGACCTTCTCCCCCACCCCGAAGATGACCACTCTTCGGGTTCTGCTGCACGTTGCTGCTCAGCGTGACTACGAGCTTCACTCTCTTGACTTCAGCACAGCGTTCCTGCAGGGCAGCCTGCACGAGGAGATCTGGCTGCGCCGCCCACCTGGCTTTACTGGGTCGTTTCCCCCTGGTACCCAGTGGAGTCTCCGCCGGCCAGTCTACGGTCTCCGCCAGGCGCCACGTGAGTGGCACGACACACTGAGGACTACTCTTGCGGCTCTTGGGTTCGCGCCGTCTACTGCTGACCCGTCGCTGTTTCTGCGCACAGACACGTCGCTGCCGCCGTTCTACATTCTCGTGTACGTCGACGACTTGGTCTTTGCTACTGCTGACACTGAGGCACTCGCTCGTGTGAAGTCGGAGCTGCAGAAGAGACACACCTGCACTGACCTGGGTGAACTGCGTAGCTACCTTGGCTTGCAGATCACCCGGGACAGAGCTCGCCGCACCATCACCCTGACTCAGTCACACATGGTGCAGCAGGTCCTTCAGCGCTTCGGCTTCCAGTTCTCCTCACCACAGGCCACACCTCTGGCTACCAGCCACTCGCTCTCAGCTCCACCTTCGGACGAGTCCGTAGAGCCGAGTGGCCCGTACCCAGAGCTTGTAGGCTGCCTCATGTACTTGATGACTTGCACGCGACCTGACCTCGCGTACCCTCTTAGCATCCTTGCTCGTTACGTTGCGCCTGGGAGACACAGGCGAGAGCACTGGGAGGCTGCTAAGAGGGTGCTGCGTTACCTGTGCAGTACATCAGGCATGGGGCTGGTGCTTGGAGGACGCGACAGAGTTGTCCTCACTGGTCACTCGGACGCCTCTTGGGTGGACGACCTGGCTACGCAGCGGTCGTCACAGGGTTACACCTTCAGCCTTGGCTCAGGTTCTGTCTCGTGGCGGTCCACCCGCTCTTCCTCTGTTCTCGGCTCTAGTTGTGAGGCTGAGATCTACGCCACAGCCATGGCTGCACAGGAGTTACGCTGGCTCACCTACCTGCTGACTGACTTGGGAGAGCGGCCTAGTTCTCCTCCAGTTCTGTACGGTGACAACAAGGCGGCTCTTGCCTTGTGTCAGGAGCACAGACTGGAGCACAGGACGAAGCACATTGCTCTTCGCTACTTTCTTGCTCGAGAGCTTCAGCAGCGCGGTCAGCTTCGACTTGTGTACGTGGACTCGAAGGCCAACACCGCTGATATCTTCACCAAGGCGCTCCCGCCTAGTGATCATCAGCGGCACTGTACTTCTTTAGGCCTTGTGTCCACGTTTCCTCACTTGCTCACTGCTTGACATTCTTTGTACTGTACTTTATATATATCTTGTTGCTTGCTTGCTAGGTTTTGATCACTGTGTTGCTTGTCTTGTACTATATCTAGCACTGCATGTGAACTGGCCTTGTGGCCTTTACTTGTGCTCGGAGTGTGGTGACGTTGTGATCCACCCTGGGCTTTGTTTTGCTTTGCTGGACTGGTCTTGTGACCCTTTGTTCTCCCCCACTTTGCCTATGGGGGTGTGTTAAACTGTATTATGCTTGTAGGCTGTAGTGGGGTAGCCAATATGGGGTACAACCCCAACTAGGGTTTCATATTTGTACCCAAACTTCTGTTAGTTCAATCATTCTTGCCTAGTGATTCTGATAGGAAAATCATGACAGTTCATGATTTTGAATGTGCGAGTTATAATGTGGCTATAATGAGACACAATAAATTGTTGTACCCTCTAGATGTTACATGAATCATCCTACCGTATAACCACAAATAGTAGCGCATGTGCGCTTTTATTAAAATCTTTTTTTTTTGGGGGGGGGGGGGGGGGGGGGGGGGGGGGGGGGGGGGGGGGGGGGGGGGGGACGCTTGTAATTGAGTAACGGGCATAAATAAAGGTGCTAATATAATGTGAAATACAAATTTATACCTTTACGGTACCAAATTGTACGTTTCATTGTTGCCATTTCAACCGAGTCGAAAGAATATAGCATCGCAAAGCAGAATCGTGTGCAAGCGAGTATGCTTCCTGCACACTTGGGAAAAGTCACGTCAATTTGCAGGCATGCCAGCACATCGTGACTGGACTCGCAGCCAATCAGGTCTTCGAGAGTCAAACGAAGCGAGAATGAAATTGGGCTCGCTGCAAAAATGAACGCGTTACCGTTTTGAACACAATTCTATATTAATATTGTATGTGCGCTTATAATAAGTAAAGGTTCGCAGGGGGGCGCTTATAGTTGAGGATCGGCCATAAGCGTCATGCCCCAGATTGAAGTGCATACGCCTTTAATAGGACGGCGCCTATATCCTGGGCCATACGGTACCATAGTAAATATCAATCACAACATAGGATGAACTGGTGGCTTGTAATTATTTTATGGCAATGATTATCAAACAAGTTGGCCCATGACAAACTGTTGATGCCGATGACATTTTAATGCTATTGTGGTACCAAGGGTTAATTTTGATTTAAGTTGGCTGGAAATCTTGGAAGGTTGATGCGACATTGTGATAAATGGTTTTCAAAGCCGTAGACGTTGACGGTATATCTTTCCTCGATCATGGTAATCAAGAAGCACAATGACAACATATATTTGGCACCCAGAAATCGCATCCCAAGTGAAGCATGGTTTTGGTGAGTTTGGCTAACAAAACGCAAAATGATGGGCATTAATAGGGAACAGGGAGGACGGGGCTGGATGAGGGCGCAGCAGCAAGGCTGACGTTTCGTTTTGGGCCTCCCTGATTCCGGGAAAAATTTTCCCCCTCTATTATGGGTGCATATTTTCCAGAAAATCATCACCCTGATTGCTCAGTGTTGATAAGTTATGTAGTCTGGTTGTTCAGGGTCGAGAAGTCATGATCAGAGTACTAACGCGCTGTGCATTATCGAAACGAAGCTGAACTTTCACTTCACATCTCGCTAGATTTAATGAAAGGACGAATATGCAATGTCAAATACATTTTACTGTGATTGGTCGAAACTCTGTGCTCTTGCTCAGGGCAAATCTGTTGTGTCAGGGCCAGTTCGCTGTGATTGGGCAAATTCGTTGCTCCCGTACGGCACGAATTCGCTTTGTCATCGCGAATGTTGCACGTGAGTCAGTTGGGCGCATGCCATTGAGTGTCCAGAGTACAGTACAGTTCAACCCACTGCCCCAGCTGTACGAGCGGACGAGCAAGCACAGAGGCACGTGGCAAGTGGCGCTGTTTGGACACTCCTTCATGCTTCAGAACCGAACACAGCGATGGGTACAGTAGAATGCTGCGCGTGCGAGGGGTCCCTTGTGCGTGCAAGTGATCCTTGCAATAGAAATCATGATTGATTACGCACATGGGGGGTTATCGGGACGAAGTTTCCTAGAAACTTCTGTCAGAAATAACTGAGCAGGAATGAATGAACTAGAACAGAGTTTGGTACAAGTAGTAAACCCTAACTTTGTGTACCCCCTAAGGTGTAACCCACTACAGCCTAGACAATATAAACATGCAATGTTTGACACACCCCCATAGGCGCAGTGGGAGACAACCACAGGGTCACAAGACCAGTCAAAGCAAAGTAAAGCAAGCTCAGGGTGGATCTCAAGGATTCCACACAAATTCCGAGCACAAGCAAGTGGTCTCAAGACCAGTTCACATGCAGGTTTATAACAAAGCAAGAGATACAGTGATCACAACCTAGCAAAAGTAAACAAGTAGGCATATATATATAGTGATCACAGTACAAGCAAGGTCAAGAGGTAAGCAAGTGAGGCCCAGTAGGTACAAGGCCTAGTAGAGTGCAAAAGCGCTGATGGTCACAAGGCTGAAGCGCCTTGGTGAACACATCAGCAGTGTTGGCCTCCGTGGCCACGTAACGCAGACAAAGCTGACCACGCTGCTGCAGCTCTCGAGCAAGGAAGTACCGCAGAGCGATGTGCTTCGTTCTGTGCTCCAGTCTGTGCTCCTCACACAAGGCAATGGCAGCCTTGTTGTCAACGTACAGCACTGGAGGAGAACGAGGCCGCTCTCCGAGGTCGGTCAGCAGGTAGGTCAGCCAGCGTAGCTCCTGAGCAGCCATGGCTGTGGCGTAGATCTCAGCCTCACAACTGGAGCTGAGAACAGAAGAAGAGCGAGTAGAACGCCAAGAAACTGAGCCAGAGCCAAGGCTGAAGGTGTAACCCTGGGACGACCGCTGAGTAGCCTGGTCGTCTGCCCAAGAAGCGTCTGAGTGCCCTGTGAGAACAACCCGGTCTCGCCCTCCAAGCACAAGCCCCATGCCCGACGTACTGCACAAGTAGCGCAACACCCTCTTAGCAGCATCCATGTGCTCCTTCCGGTGACGGCCAGGAGCGACATAGCGTGCTAGGATGCTAAGAGGGTATGCAAGGTCAGGTCGAGTGCAGGTCATCAGGTACATGAGGCAGCCCACAAGCTCTGGATACGGGCCACTCGGCTCTACGGACTCATCCGAAGGCAGAGCTGAGAGCGAGTGACCGGTAGGCAGAGGAGTGGACTGAGGCGAGGAGTACGTGAAGCGGAAGCGCTGGAGAACCTGCTGCACCATGTGTGACTGAGTCAGGGTGATGGTGCGCCGCGCTCTGTCCCGGGTGATCCGCAAGCCAAGATAGCTCGTCAGCTCACCCAGGTCTGTGCACGTGTGTCTCCTCTGCAGCTCCGACTTCACGTGAGCGAGTGCCGCGGTGTCAGCAGTGGCAAAGACCAAGTCGTCGACGTACACGAGGATGTAGAACGGCGGCAGCGAGGTGTCGGTGCGTAGAAACAGCGACGGGTCAGCAGTAGAGGGAGCGAACCCAAGAGCCGCAAGTGTCGTCCTCAGTGTGTCGTGCCACTCACGTGGCGCCTGGCGGAGACCGTAGACCGGCCGCTGAAGCCTCCACTGGGTGCCAGGAGGAAATGACCCAGTGAAGCCAGGGGGGCGGCGCAGCCAGATCTCCTCGTGCAGGCTGCCCTGCAAGAAAGCAGTGCTGAAGTCAAGAGAGTGAAGCTCGTAGTCGCGGTGAGCGGCTATGTGCAGCAGCACCCGAAGAGTAGTCATCTTCGGGGTGGGGGAGAAGGTCTGAAAGAAGTCTACTCCCTCTCGCTGACTGAAGCCTCGAGCCACGTAGCGCGCCTTGAAGACAGGTGGAGAACCCGGCGGCCGCTTCACCCTGAAAATCCACATGCCACTGACGATGTTCGCCCCAGGAGGGGGAACCTCGTCTACGTAGGTGCCTGTGGACTTCCAGGAGGCCATCTCTGCGTCCATGGCTGTCTGCCACTGAGAGGAGTAGGGACCCGCTATCGCCTCAGCGTAAGAGCGTGGGGTCGGGATGTCTGGTGCATCCGGGTCTCCCTCAGGGGCAACTAGCAAGGACACGAGACGGGGCAAAGCAGCAGTAAGGCAGTGGAACTCCTCCTGTCTGTCCTCAAGGACGTCCGTGCCGAGGGCACACTCACCCCCGACGGACGGAGGACAGGCAGACGCAGACTCAGACCTAGCGACAAGGCTGGCAGCGTAGTCTAGGCGACAGCGAGCAGCAAAGTCAACCAACTCAGCGACCAGAGCAGACGCAGCAGAGGACTCAAAGGTCGGGTCAGTGACAACTGTAGCGAGGAGACGCGTAACAGTGGGACTGGCAGCACGACGGGAGTCAGACTCCGGGTCAGGAAGAGTAGGAAGAGAGGACGCAGGAGGAGACGGCAGCGGGACACGCTGCGGAGCAGTGGAGGGACGCAGAGTCATGTAGTGAGTGCCAGGGACAGGAGGAGGACGCTCACGTGGGACACGACGACCAGTGCGAGCAGTACGAACAGGCGACGCAGGACGAGACTCAGGCTCACGACGCTCTGTAAGACCTCCTGTGGGACCAGCGTAAGGGGAGGGAGCAGGGAGAGGCGAGACAGGCGGTAACTGTGACTGCGGCTGGACAGGCAGAGGACACTCGACGGAGGAAGGAGGACAAGGAGGAGGAGCCTGACCAAGAACCTGCTGAAGGAGCGGTACGAAGTACGGTCGCGGCCGCGCAGCGTCTCCAGAAGCAGCAGGGACACCAGTGGCAGCCCCAACGTCCGAGTCCCCAGCACCAGCAGCAGCTCCAACGCCCGAGTCCTCAGCACCAGCAGCAGCACCACCGGTCGGGTCCTCAGCACGAGCAGCAGCTCCAACGCCCGGGTCCTCAGCACCAGCAGCAGGGGCACTGGTCAGGTCCTCAGCACCAGCAGCCGCGCCACCGGTCGGGTCCTCAGCACCAGCAGCAGCTCCAACGCCCGGGTCCTCAGCACCAGCCGCAGCTCCAGTATCCGGGTCCTCAGCACCAGCAA